ATACTTGCCAGCTGTAGTATAAATTGGGCTTTATAAAAATAAATGCAATTATAATACTGAAAAAGAAAAATCCAACCCTGATCTTTAACCTAACATACAGTCCTGAAACAACGCCGTTAATACTGTAATAGCTATACAACTTTGTTGATAGACCAAACTTGGTAAAGAACCAACGGGCTGACAACTACAAAGTGGCTTCATTCAGTTAGCAGAACAGTATGAAAGAGAAAGGACTCCGGCATTGGATCACACTTTTTTAACATACACTGGCAGCCTCTGGACATGACTTGCTGATGAATCCATGGGCTAACTATTTGAAACGAGTGCCTTAATGTAGTTAACGTAACAAAAAGCAACTGAATCTAATGCCAAACGTCAACACCTTTATACAGTAATTTACGTTCTAACTATTTTTAAGAGTTTGCAGTTTTGGTGGGAGTTTGTCTTGTGCCAAGCGTCACTCTTTGAATGAAGTTGAAAGTGTTTTTCATGGCTTTAGGGTATTCAGTCCAAGTGTAAAGAAAATGACAACACAAACAAGAGGCAAAGTGCTTGAGGTAGGTTCAGGAGATCATCCATTACAATACCTTCCTCAACAATGATGGAAGTAGACACTGGGTCAAGGTGGAGTTGATTTGGAGAGAGGGACATCTTCACTGATGTTCGTCAGCACCCCAACAGATACTTGTGCCCAGGCACCATCCCTGTCAGAATCCTGTGTAAGACCAAACGGAAACAACATTACAACAAGGAACTATAAATTGTCACTGTGTCATATGTTTTCCTCACACTAAATATTCTTTGCCATCCTCGTTAGATTGTATTAGCTTGTGTATTCGAGGGAGAGATATGATCTACCTCTTGTGCATTATACACAACCGGAGATGGCAAGCAGGCTTAGCACCGTTGAGCTGAGCTGAGCAGTGCAACCCGGTGACATGGACTGCGAACGGAGTTAGATCAATATATGGCTGCTTCACCTTATGGGTGATGCTACCAGCCTAGCTCATGTGAAGCCAGGAAAATACACCTTTATCAATATGCATGAAAAAAAATTGTAACAATTTTTTGGGGGGCATTTCTGCATTATTCGACAGTAACAGTAGAGACAGAAAAGGCAGGGATGAGAGAGGCGATGACATGCAGCGAAGGCCTCCATCCAAATCAACTTCCGGCTGCTGTGGTTGGGACTCAGCCTTGCTGTGATACGTCTTGAGGCATTATGTTTATCTCAGGATTACCTTGACGGAATTTCTTCAAATTTGGAACAAAGGTCCACTTGGACTTAAGGTCGAAATTTGGTGGTCAAAGATCACAGGTCACCGTGACCTCACAAAACACGTTTCTGGCCATAACTCAAGAATTCAGAAGAATGCTAATTATGACACACAATTCATTTCACACAAATGTCTATTTACATACATTTCATAAAGGTTTCTGTTAAATGAAAGTGAAGACGTTTATTCATTAAGCTTCTTTCTTATTCATCTCTGTTATAGTGTCAAAAGTCATCCTGAGGACAACACACACACACATCAGAGGCATGGGTCTCTTCCTCCATTCAGCGCCCATCCTCTACCCTAATAATTTACAAACAGTTCCTAAATGTTAAAAATGGTCGAGGGATTCAATTTACAACAATATTTAACTGAGAAAATATAGGCGGGGATCGGCTCACGTAAAAGGCGTCATGGGTAGGGTGAAGCCAGAGGACACTGGTGGAGGCAGTAGTCCTGACGTGCAAATTGGTCGTCCGATCTGGGTCTAGGGGCGAAAGACTAATCAAACCAGCAGCTGGTTCCCTCCCAAGTTTCCTTCAGGATAGCTAGTGTCTCTCAGGTTTTTCTCTCACTGCATTCACGTGAATATGGTTCACTGCTTGAGTTAATGTACTTGAAGTGAATATGAACTATGAAGTATTCAGAAAAGTAAAAGTAACGGTACAGAACTATTATGATCAAAATATACTTAAAATACTAAAAGTAATAGTCTTCATTATGCAGAATGGCCCATTTCAAAATAAGGTTAGGTTAAGCTGTTTGAACAACAGCTTAACCTCTCTCTCTGCCCCCTCACCGGTCACAACATAAAAGTTCATAATCCCTGCAGGCTGGTCGATGTAAACTCCAATTGTGGAGCTGTATGGGACATCGTTTATGGCTTTGTTCATACCGTTGAACCAGATCTGGTAACGTGTTCCTGACCAACACAGACCTCATGACTCCTTATTTTCTCAGAGGCCGCTCGGCCCGGAATCTGCCCTTCTTGCTCCTTGATAGGTGACTCCAATTACCACCCACCCAGAGTACTCTGCCTCCCAGTAAGCCCTCATGCTCCAGATACCCTCTTTGCACAACGCCTTCGAAGAAATTAAAAAAGGAGGAAAAATCAGAAAGCATTTGTTTCTTTGAAAGCTTGTATCTGTATTTGTATCTTTATTATTTTCAACATACCTGAGGAGAGAACTCATATCTCTCTGGTCGATCCATGACAGGATAAACCTCCTCAGTTCTCAGGAAAACCTGAGGCCCATTGTTAGAAATCCACAACATCTTGTTGGCAGTCTTATCAAATATTCTGCTGAGGCGCATCCGTCAGTAACTGTTCCAGCCGAGACACATGCTTACTCAATCATCTTGTTACAATGTAAATGCATGGACTGTTAATGTAAATGGGATAGAAAAAACATGATGTACCTAGTTTATTGGCCTCTGAGAGGATTATTGCAGAATTGGGTCTAGCAGGCACCTTGAGACGTGCTAATAATCCACGTCCAGATGCTTCAAAATGCTTCGGTTCATCCAAAAGTACCAAGTCTTTGTCTTTGTCTTCCACTTGACTTTCATACCATCAGTTAAGATGAGTTGGAGGGGCTTGAGTGTCTGAAAGAGGAGTTGAGGTCAGTGGAACAGGTGCTCAGCAGGGTGCAAGTGGGAGTATGCACTTGACTTTGACATATGGATGTAAGTGAGGCTAGCACAGACATCTGACACCCCGGAGTGTGTGCAGAAAAGCAAGACGATGGTTGCAAATATGAGTGAAAGTAAGATTAAAAAACTGGTCCTGTCAGTGTTGTCAAAAGAGACGGAAGCAGAACCACATAAACAAACACACAACCGTCAAACTAAGATAAACTATGCGACATTTCGTGTTTTTATTTCAATTACAATAATACATCGACTATGTTGGTATGCTATAAGAGTCCACCTTAAGGTGATGGAAATCTGAGCTTTTACACCACCGTACGGCAAACAAGCACTCGTTTACTCTACAGTCCCTTTTTACAGCAGCAATTTTGACATGTAATAGCAGGGTAAACACATGTGTAATAGATATATTAAATAACTATGGTCCCATTCTATTTTGTCCGTCACAGTCATCGGAGTGAGCTAGCATTTAAATACCAGGGCCCTGGCTCACCTAATTGGAAAAGGGACAGAAGTCATGTTATCAATTACACCTGTGTTTACCCTGCAACACGGTCTCATGGCAGTTTGTGAAATAGTCACAAAATTGAATCTATTGATTTGTGTACTTGGGCAAGAATTTTTCTTTTTTTGTGTGTTGCTCAGCACGATTTTCTGTTTTGTTTAGGCAACAAAACCACTTCATTAGGTTTAGGAAAAAGGTCTTGAACGTATCACTTCACAACAACGTTTTGGCAAACAGACACCAGTCTTGAACAGCTGTGTTCACACGATGGTTACTCCGTCGGCTGTCAGGATATACGTTCCTCTTGGAGTTGTCGGAACAATACCTTCGGCCTTTTATCTCACCCCGTAGCTGAATCGTTAGGATTTTGGGATTATTGTCTTTCTGAAAGTCTTTTTACGGCTATACGCCCTAGGCGCTTTCAGTAGGATGTAACCCTACACCCAGTACGAATAGTTATGTACATCGTCTATATACTTTACTATTGCCAATTATGAACATTCTCACCATTTTAAGACTAACACTGCCAAGTCTTCACCCAGGGAACTTACCTTAAGCTCCTCTGCACGTTTTCAGTCGTCACATATTATCGCACGGTTAACGGACAGGAAGAGGGTTAAATTGTTCTAAAGAACCGGAATACTTCAGACACTTACAAATGGTAAGGGTGTGGTTTTATTAAAGTTTTTCACACAACAATCACGTACCACAATTTCAATTCAATGAAACAGTCTCTGTGCTACAAGAACTAATTCTAACACTCCTACTGTAACGAGGCTTTCCTCTTAATCAGCTGGCACTGATTTGCTGAAGGAATAAAGTCCAGCTCCTAGCCTAGACAATCTTCCCTCCTCTTTCTCTCTCTCTCTCTTTTTTTATGCTGGTGCTGACATTCCTGCTGTGTTCAGGCTCTCTCTGTGACTTTTTTCTTTTTCCTTTTTCTCATGCTGTCAGAAAGGTCTTCTGTCCCCCTATAAGTGGGTAAGACAGTAGAAGGGTCTTCCTGTCCTCACTTCCTAGGGGGTAAACCCCCTAAGTGTCTATTTAAGAAGTCTGTCCCATTCTCTATTTGGGGGGAAAAGGCCCAACTCACACAATGTTTCTGCTGCTCTTATGCTGATAAAAAGCTGGCATCTGCTTCAGGTTCATGAGTCACTCACATGTGACTCCTGCTTTTAGATCTGAAACAGAATGTAACTGGTTTGATACTGTTCAGAAGAGAGGAAGGATACTAAAAGTTTTGAGTGACTATTTTATATAAGGCGTATATGCAGTTTATATGGTTAATCACATCTATCATGAAATAAAACAGTTTATATGTTTAATGGTTTAATACTTTGAATCAAAAGGGTTACAGGTTATAATAGTTATACTTTTATGCTTTCATACTTCTCTACCATCTTTCAACAACATGAAAATGGCTGCTGTGAAAAGGGCCAGTTATCAGTGTAATTCATAAGTCATCTAATAAAGGAAATGAACTCAGTGCATGTGCAGAACTACGTTTGGCATATTATTGCTGTCGTTCTCTTGCGTTGATATTTGGATTAACAAGCCAGAACAACACGTGTCTCACTCAGTTTTATTATTTATCTAAACTTTACATTCTGCACACCAAACTAGGATTTTCTTTACATTAGCAAACAATAACAATGGAGGAATAAAAATACTGGTCCAGTGGTTTCAGGAAAGTCCATATAGAGTGTGAAAAAAGTGAATCCCAGCTTAACCCCTACCCGACTGAACTTAGTTGCCTACATTAAAATGTACAAACCTAAAAACTACTGTGTAAACCTCTGAGATGCTATATGTAGGAATATCTCATGTGTGCTAATGTCTAAATTATGATGTCACCCACATAGGGTTAATGCAAGCTTATGGAACACAAATGTTAACGGCAGTTGGTATTGTGCCATAATTGTAGCTTGATTAAAAAAGGACGAGATAGTTTCACTCCTTTCTCAGCCAGAGCTCTGCTCATAATCACTGCCTATTAGATATAATATTCTAATGTTGTCAGCCCTTTATTCCTCCTTCTTTAGGATCAAACAGTGTGACTGCGGCGCCACCCAGAAACCTGGTATCATTTTCTGCTCAAAGGGGCACCTAACTTGTTGCAAAAGATGAACCTCCTTTCCTACTGTGCTCTCCTCTTCCTCCTTCACCTCCTCCACACCGTAATAATTTAGGATACCAGCAGGCTGGTCAAGGTACACACCAATTGTGGGGAACTTAGGGATCCCCTCGATCTCTACATGGCGGCCTTTGTGCCAGGCACTATAGCTGGAACCACTCCAGCCAATGCACCAGGACTCCTCGTTCTCTCCAAGGCCGCAGAATCCATCGGTGTTCCTCCTTCCTGCTCGTTCGTAGGCGACCCCGACCACGACCCACCCGGAGTACGCCACCTCCCAGTAGCCTCGGAAGCCCAGGATGGCTTCTTTGCAAAGAACCTGTTGGAACATGGATGGGGATGACAGTGCTATTTAGGGACTATCCGACATAAACTCTGATTAATTACAGCTGCCACTGCGGAGAATTTAGAGCAGCATCACTTTCTCCGACTTGCAATGCCAAACTAGTTGCCTCAGGATTTAAATAAACGCAGGGGGACAGCCCTCCGGTTCCAAATACTCTTGCCTGGGTTTTACAATCACATCAAACTCATGACAACTTCATGGCACTCTCATCTAATTTCGAGAAAATACATATAAATGGCATAGTGTCAGTCCAAAATAATGTTACTGCGTCTTAAACTTGTACCTGTGGAGAATACTCATATCGCTCTGGTCTATCCAAGACAGGACAAGTTAAATCGTCGGTCATACGAGCAACCTTAGCACCATTCTCCCCAATCCACAGCATCTTATTGGCTGTCTTGTCATCCAGGCAAATGTTGTACCAATCTGAGAAAAAATGATAAAGAAACAATGATTCAATAATAAGTTTGGACATATTGTTTTTTTTTTAAGGGATAAAAAATTGGTAAAAGAATAAGAATCTTACGTTTGATGAGATCAGCTCTGCATTTCGGTTCGGGGATATTTGGCTCATAGGCCGGGATGTTCTCTGAGAAGTGAGTGACAGAACAACATGGTCTTAATCTTAATCTTAATTTCCAAAATCTGTAATAAAGTTACTGTCTTACCTGTGGTTGCGTTTCCACCTTTGCCTTTTTTTGCTGCAAAAAAACAAACTGTGTCATCACCAGAACAACCTATATTAAGATCAACATGCTCAGCTGCTAGGCAGAGGTATGTGTCAGGTGTGTCTCAACAGGTGATGATGAAGTGTAAAAATGGTGTATAATTAGAAAACCATCTGCCTCTGTCAGATCATCACATCGCCAACCACATGCTTACTGGAACCAGTGGTGGGTTCATGCCAGGCAGTTGGAATTAACAAGACACCTCGCATCCTGGGGGTGTCAGACTGAGTGCAGCACGAAGCTCAGAGCAGTTTAACAGATGAAAAGGAACATGATCTGCTCGCACAAATCAGATAAGTTGGGAAGATGAAGATCCAACATTTGTTTGTTGAGGTGAATGAGTAAAGGCAGCCAAAAAACGACTAATTGCATTTAAATTTTGTCACAATTGAAAAGCAGCTGCTCTCGTATAGAGTTAATGTGAAGATAATGAATTGTAACATGTGCTTTATCCCTAAATTGAATAAGGAGTGGGACTCTCTTTAATGAAAGGAGATTATAATACAGACAGAAAATAATTAAGTCTGCTAGCATTTAGATTTCAAGTTAAACTTGATTACAGGGGGCAATATTGTGTCATAACTTTTCTTGAAGTGATAAATGACAGTTGCATAACAGGCTCAGCCGCGATGCCAGTTTTGTAACTTATACTCATGTAAACATGTACTATCCAGTTTGTTGTTAAGGACGGGGATTAAAAACAGGAGACACCTAATCCCCACAGCATTAGGATGTCACCGTCGACTAACATAAGTGATGTGTTTTATATATATCAACAAGTAACATCAGCTCCAAAATGAACTGAACCTTTATTTTCCTTCACACATCGACATTAGCTCGAAAAGCACAATATTGCATGCTTTATATACATATATATATTGTGAAATTTAAGTGTGTGATTAGGTTTCACAGGCAAGAAGCTGGATTCCTATCATTAAAGAGCTAACAATTATACTATTGTCAACTACAGCAACTGCAAGCTAGTCGTGAGCCTCCATTCCTCTGGAAGTTGTGTTACAGGTCCACATTATGTTATCCTTGTTGTCAGGATAATACAGTCTGTAGTGGCTGACATCAATGAGCTACAATCCTGCTCAATGTCCCCAATTTTCAAGATGCAAAAACAGCATTTTAATACATACTGCATGATAAATCTTTTTTTAGTGCATATGATTGCGCCCTTGCGCCCAGGCAGCAACACCATTATACACCCCGCATGACGACAAGCATGAAATCGGGCAGAGAAAAATTGCGCTTTCCACACAGACATCAACTCTAGTGACCGATTCACCCAGGGTCTGCCTCACAGGACACTGCCCGGCTGGGGTTATTGAATCAATTCATATAAAGCATTGCTGATAATAATTCCTGTATGCACCAACTAATATATATGCTGCAATATTCTTCACAGGCTTAATTTGACAGAAAAAATATATTTACCTTGTAATATTCTTAAACATTTAGATGGAGGTGTTCACACATGGAAAAAAAACCTCTTAAATTATTGATAAATGTCCTGTATTTAAATCAATTATTCTAAATGGTGTGAAATGTAAAAAATAAAGTTCACCTTTGTCTGACATCCGGGTGTCAGTAATGAGTCTGTTGGTGGCAGGCATCTCTATACTGGCTGTTTAAGCTGCTGAAGGGAGCCTGGCTCAGCCCTGATGTCACTGGTCTCTCTGTTGACTCCACTTAATGCCACTCTTATATACCTGTGATGTAGGACAGAGGTGAAGGAGTGAGAGCCAGTGTTGTGGACATGAGCGTGAGATCATATTTGCCAATTGAAAAGAGGGGGAGGCAGGAGGCTTGTAATCAGAGCGTGTTTTACCTTAGAGGGGTTAAATAGATGGTTTAATGTCTGTAGGACACCCCCTAGTACCAAGTGAACCACACCCCCTTCCCTCTACATCACTACCGCTGATCTCTTCACATTGCACAGTGACAGCACTGATGCATTGATGTTGGATGAGGTGATTGGTGTATGCAAACACACACATACCTACAAACAAATTCTCAGTATGCAGCTTGCAAAGAAATAAACCTTAGGTCCTGGTGTTGGACATCAAGCAGTATGAGGTCCAACAGTTGCAAATGTGTAACATATTGAACAACTAGGAATATCACTTTGTTCTACATTAGAGCATTATTTATGTGATATGTAATAGATCATCAAATTTCTCTTGCAGCAACATATGTAAAGCCTGCATTTACCGGTTTGTTCTATTCTAACATTGAACATTTTAAACAAAAATAAAGAATTCATCCCTTATTTATTTATATAAATAAATATATATATTTCCAGCTGCAGGTTAAAGACGGCGCTGGTTCGGGTCCGTCCATCTGCACTGAGCTGGTAGCTGCCAGAGGACCAGCTGGAGTCTGAGCTGAAGGAATCTGACCCGGTGGCACCGACGACAGTCAATCTTCTATAGCTGATGGTCTTGTGTGCTTATGTGGTGATATACAGGCATCAAAATGAATTCACAACCAGTTAAAAGTTGAGCTCTGAACATGAATATAGCATGCAAACAATTATTTGTTATGTAAAAAGATAGTGGAGTAATGTCTACTGAGCAGAGAATGAAGTCTCTTTCCCTCTGTGTGTATTGTTATCATAGCTTTTCCTTGCTTTGTTGCCATAGCCCGTTGAGTTAATTGAAAGGATCCTAATCACGGGTCTTGCATCTTTATTAAGTGATCACAATTAAGTACAATTTTTTCTTTTTTAAGAGAATAGGTTACTTTAATTTGGCAGTTTTCTAATTAATTTCATAATGAAAGATACATCTATATAACTGCACATATTTGTAAACACTCAAAATTCAATTAATGAATTTGAATGAAAAAATTGTACTAACAGGACATTGTCATGAGGATAGGCATATACCATCTGATAATTGCACTTTGGAGAAGAGGTACGTAACAAGCAAAGTCTGAATTCATACTGTATATACAAATGTCACCCGGAATGACCTCATACGATAACCAATAACCCGAGGCGACTTCGAGTCACTTGACTGGAGGTGTCTCGGATCATCATACCAGGCTTCACAACGCACTTGACCCCCATTATCACATCAACCATTTACCATCACAAGTGCCTTCATGCCCACGGCCTGGGTTAAAAGAAAAAGCCTATCACTGGTCGTAAACCCTTCCCTGTGATATGTTCCCCACTGTGAGCTGCGTGTGTCAGATGTTTACAGCTCTGGCACCCAGCCAAACCTCTAGTCAAGGCTGTCCCGTCCTTCTTGTGTTGCGGCCTGACCAAGCAGATGGCTGACCGGGGCAGTGATTGCGACATGCTAAACAGTAAATACCAGGAGTAGTGACGGAACTGTCCCAGACTGCCCCATGGGATTTAATAAAAATAACGGAGAGGGGAGTCTGGGTGATGGGTTTGCGTGTGGCCATCTGAGTTCCTCCAATCTCTTCTAACAGGGTGATCAGAAACCAGGGGCAACAGACTTTCAAAACATTGCTGACCGACAACTGATCTCTGCCATAAAGGCCGGGGCTGAGCTGTGACCCTGCTTAGCGGCTGCTCTGCATGGTCAAGGTCAGGACTAGCTGGTCTAAAGCTCTGAATATCTTCGTTACTATCTTTTTGGCCAACTTCTCCTGTCAACGTGTTGAAGTGTCCTTGAGTGAACCTTATGTTTCTCACCAGGCGCCCACTGCACCTAGTAAATGCTTAGAATGGCTTAAATACAGAAGTCAATTTTCATGCATGTACCAGTAGGTATATGACAATTCGACTACAGTTTATAAAACAAAATTCTAAGTCAAATGCAAGCTAAAAATAAATCACGTATTTGATTTCATTTTGAAAACTTAATATTTAAATGAAATCTTTCTTGGGACAATCTCACCAATCAACAAACTGAAGGGTTAACTTTTTCAAGCAAAAGGAATGCCTACAGAACAGAATATTGTAGTATACAGTATACAGTATATTACAGTATACAGTATACTACAGTATACAGTATATTGATATGCTAAGGGAACACAGAAGCATTGCAATCCTAAAGTGCTATTCATTAAAGATTCAAAAATCTATCACAAGAAGAATTAAAGGACATAACAGACAAAATCAGGTACATTAATAAAACTACTTCTTTACCTTGGAGTGCACAGACAGATGAACTCTTCTCCAAATTAAACTCCCTCCAACCAGGTTCCTCTTCCCTCCATCACCAAAGGTCTCAAAGTGCCGTTAAGCTGTTCCTCCGGTCTAACGTGAGCGGGTCAGATTTGGCCGGCTCTGTGACACACCCATTATCCCATTATGAGCTCATTATCTCTGCATACCTTACCAAAACTTTTTCCTAGAGAATGCTGCAGTTTCATCAGCCAGGAGTATCACTTTGTGTTGGAAAGCTTCTCTGGAGATGAGCCAGGATGCAAACTACGGGATGAGACTTTTAGAGCTTAGAGCAGAGTGTTTACTTTAACAGTCTGAGGAACTTTCTGAGCAGATTTTGCATATTGTTAGTATTACGGTGAACCAAAAGTGTCCAATAAGTACAGCTGGCAGTCATTGTTTGTTTGATACTTACAGGTATAAAATCTAAACATCTGGCTACTCCTACAGGTAAGATTTTAAAGTAAACTACAGCAAATACAGTATATAACTTCAACTGTGAACTCACTAGAGACTGATAAGAGATGTATTTTAATTTTAAAGACAATACCTCTGCTTGTTATTGTATCATCAGAATGTATCCCAGACTACGAGCCTAACATCCCTGAGCCCACATGCAGAGCTGATCTTCTGAAATATAAGAACGGTCATTTAAAAACGTTTTTCCTCACTTTCATGATTTATAGTTTCTCTTCCTGAAATGGCACATTTTCCACCTCCCACAGACTGGATTAACCTTTCCCTGGATGACAAGACAGCCAATAAGATGCTGTGGATCACAGAGGGTGGATCCAAGGTGTCACGCATGACCGATGATAACACTTGTCCCGTCCTGGACAGACCAGAGAGATATGAGCATACCCCCCAGGTGGTTTTTAAACAACACACATTCATTCCAGATGTATAGAATACTTGTTTCATATGCTCGACTAATTTAATCGTCTTCTTTGCTCTTTAAGGTTCTTTGCAAAGAGGGGATCTCGGGCTTCCGAGCTTACTGGGAGGTGAAATACTCAGGATGGGTGGTCGCTGGAGTCGCCTATGAACGGGCTGGGAGGAGGGGAAGCGATGGACAATGTGGGCTGGGAGAAACTGAACAGTCCTGGGGTTTTGGGTGGGGTGGATCCCACTACCAGCTGTGGTTCAATGGCATTAACACAGAAATCTGCAATATTCCCCAGTGCACCACCATCGGGGTATACCTTGATCATCCAGCTGGTGTCATCAATTTTTATGCAGTTGAAGAAGCAAAGGAGGGAGAGGGGTTCGAAGCCAGAAAGGAGATCAGACTGCTGCAGCAGATTAAGAGCTCCTTCAAGGGGAGAATGTTGCCGGGTTTCTGGGTGGGACAAATGTCCTCATGTCTCTTAGTTAAACCAGAGGAGTAAAGTAAAGAGTGTGCGTTTTCCATTTCCATTCGTACGTAATTTACAATACATCTAAAACCTGAAATATGTCTGCATGTATCTGCAATGCATATTTTGGGGATAATGCAATACAAGCTATTCTAAATCAAAGAAAAACACGTTTATCATCAAGAAGCTGCTATTTGTTTGTGTATCATTAAAATGTTAATTTTGTCAAAACCCAAATGACTGGCTGACTTTTAATAGAATAAACACACTGAAAATAATCAGTCATTAAAAAGGTGTGAATAGTTTTGCCATGCTAATCAACAGTAAAGATGATGGTAAGGGATATAAGAGAACAGAGTGAAAGAAACAGCATAATATTGACAGACAGATGAATAAACAGATGAAGCGTTCATGCCAACTGTGAAGAGAGGTCAAACAAAGCAACACTGCATTGCTTTGTGGTATGAACGCCAGGTGATAAGTCTTGATTTATAAATATAAGCTTACGGTGCAGGAAGATGAATCCATCACTGCCATGTGAAGCATTCAAACTCGTCCATACCTTCAGCTGCTCTGGCTCTTTAATTCTTCACCTTCCCCTGTTAACGCTGAGCAGGGGGGCCAGAGGATAGGGCTGGTGATATGAAAGCAGATCCTGCAAAGTCATAAACAAGTTCATATGAGAGCACACACATAACGCCGTTGAGGGCATATGAGGAGAGCTGATGAAATATAAGAGGGCAGATGCAGGGCTTACCTCAATGGCGAGTTCATTGATAACAATTTAGACTTATGCAGTTTTCCACAGCCCACACACACACCTGAACTAGGAACAGCGGGGGAAAGAGGGAATATCAATTGCAAAATGCAAATATTAAGATTTTATTTTTTTGGCACATTTTCGGTATGATAGTGCTCTCAATGAGCTGATAAACCGCTGCAGTCAAAGTACTTCTTAAGGATGTTACACCTTGTCATGAGGGCAACCTGAACCGCCTGAAAGTCTGAAAGTCGCCTGAAAGTCTCTCTAATAATGTCCAATGATGCTTACTAGCATGTAGCCAACATCAACCACATTGTTGTCATCAAGATGATTGACGATGCTGGATATAATCCACAACTGCCAACACACAAAAACACAACAGAGAGAGTAATGCCTGAATTCATACTGCAATTAACTGGCAGCAATTCACAAGTAAGTTATCTTGAAAAATAAATCTGTAATACATTTTTTAACTTTCATGCACATAATTAGTTACTGTGATTTTATACAGTAGATTGCTGTTTACTGTGATTTTCTACAGTAGCGACTTCCCTACTGTGATTTTCACATAAGGCTGATTAATGTAATTCCAAATTTATTATTATATTGAATATTATTGAATAGTATAATACGCAGTCCTCTACTGTGCACAAACACAGTAAATTACTGTGGTTTCACCAGGCATTCTTTACAGTCCACGGAAATGATTTTGTTTTTTGACCATAATACTCAGCATGATTCCTGTATTGTATATTTTTTTCATAAACCACACTAGTGTGTATGGGTTTTTTTTAATGACAGTGGCTTGTGAAAATTTCAGCTCAAGCACAACTTTAAGCTTTTGGCCCCCACCAACAACATAATGCATTCATTTATCCATCTATTAAATCATTGTTGGAGACAAGACTGTAACTGCAGGCTGAAAGTCACTTTCCTGACTGTCTGTCGTCCTCTGGTTACACTCTGAGCCACACTCATTATCTGGTCAAATGAAACCTTGTCTTTTTCTCCCCCCAGCGACGGTCACCAGTATAACAAGCTGTGGCAACCAGCCTGGATCCTCTCCTCCAACGTGGAATGTTTATTCCCACCCACCGTGATTTGATTGGTTTAACCGTCTAATATGGGCGGGTTAAAAGTGGATTTAGATTGGAAGCTAACTTTGAGCGTTAATAAACACCTTGAGGGGGGGGACACAATGATAATCAGTGGTGGAATAAGTATGCAGTAATTCCACACTGTGATGGTAAAAGTCCTACAGTTAAATTCTTGCTTTAAGTAAAAGTACAGTATTTATTTCATTTTAGAAAAATGAATAACTGCCTTAATCAGTGTTCTACTGTAATATATGATGTTTTAAATATCACTGCTGCATTAATGTTTATGTTGCATTTTAATGTTGTAGATTAAACTACCCAACATTATCTGAAGTAGTATGGCACAGCCTTAAACATCTACTGCAGTAACATGCATCGTATTCTATAAGCAGTGTTGGGAAGGTTACTTTTTAAATGTAATAGATTACAAATTACTAGTTACCCTGTTAAAAAATGTCATCAGTAATGTAACTATTTTAATTATCAGAGTATCATTTACATTTGATTACTTTTCTGCAAAGAGTAAGAAAATATTTGTAATCACAAAAACACTCTTTCTGCAACTGATAGCGATTACATTGATTTGGCAATGTTATTCAAATAACTGGCTCTAATGGTTCATTAAATAGTAATTCTTTGCTTTTTTTATCATCGAATTTGGACATACATAGTTTTCACTGAGCAGGAAGGGGAAATTAGAATCTAAGAAGTAACTTAAGATAAAAGTGGTGGAGTAAAAAGTACAAGATTCCCTTCTGAATGTGTGGAGAAGAAGTAAAAAAATAATAAATGTACATATAAAAATCGTCCTCACAAAATAGAAATTGGTACTTCCTGATAATACCACAAGATGGTGCCATGGTGTCATTCATAAATTAAAGACAACTGCACTTAGGAACATGGGCAGTAAGTGTGCTCTAAGAAGAAAACAAGACTTGCTTTGGCTTCGTGTAATCTTTGGGATTCATCATGAAATTGTATTCATCATCATTTTAATTTGCTCATCAAAAACATTAATGGATTACAGACACTTTTCCACAAGCCGTTCAATGACACAATCCTACTTGTCAAAATGCTCCAGTAAGTCTGACAAAAGTATTAAAAGGTATTCAATTTAGTGGAAAACCCCACAAAATATTTGATTAAAAGTAAAAAGCTCTTCTAAATAGAGCACTATAACATAAGCTCCAAATGATTGGTTGACTGATCAGTCGTGTGCTGTATGGATATTGGTATCAATCATGAATGCATTTCAAGTAGTAAATCCAATTAAAAAAAATATGAAATGTAATTATGGTGGATTATCCATTTAGTCATGGCAGGGTGTTGGTTGTTTGTAAATATATAGTACCCTAAATAAATAAATCTATCTAAAATATTGTACCATAAGGGAAATATGGTTTGCAACTCAATATACAAGCGCTATAATACACAAATCAACCTGATATACCTACATTGCCCACCAGATGCAATAATTGGTCAGTCTGTGGTGTAAATTACCAAGCTGTTGCAGAGGGAAACACTGCTGCTGAATTGTATGTTGAAATGAAGCCATCTAATTGCAGAAGGAATAAATAAGACGGGTCTCTCTGCTCTGAAGTGTATCCAGTGTGAAGGATCGGTCAGAGAGTATCACTTCCTCTGTAAGTCAAAAAGATGTTCATCTTTTAGCACATGAATCACACAGATTGCAGTTATTTATGTGCAGCTCAGAGCAGTAACCATATTGGGGTTACTCACATATTGGGGTTATAGCTGAGGCAATAAATTCTGATAAAAACAAGGTCATAATTTTTGCAGATGTTAATAGATTTGGTTTTCAGTGCTTCCCTGCAAATTATCTCTGTTACTGTCTCTGAAGTTTGCTATCAGTAAAAGTCCCCAGATATTTACGGTATAGTTGCCCTCCAATTCAATTCCCTTATCAGATTGTAGAGCGGGTTAGGGAGCGGCCTGTAAACTTCTAAAATGTATTGCACCGTGACAAAAAGTCACCACAAACACAGTCAAGTCTCCTCCTAGAGTGTAGCACATAATACCAGAATCATCTACAAATTTGTTAAAATGTCTGATTAAATATATACAGTGGTAGGCATGAATATGGATGGAGAGATTGCATCAGTGGACATATATATATATATATATATATATATAATACAACCCAGTGACAGACAGTAGTTATAAGGTAGAATTCTTCCAATGAAAAGCAAAATTCCAGTTAAATTATATTAAAAATGTGACTTCACAGGTTCTGGACTAATCACTGACTTATCACATTAGGTGGTTGCTGACTGGGGAAAAGTTATTTTCATGTTGCGTATTAATCTTTATCTCGTCAGATGAGAAACTTAATATAGACTCTGCCCTTCCCCATCTGTCTCCTTCTCTCTTTGCCCACACACACGCACAAACACACACACACACACACACACACCCCTTTGAACTTCTATCTTTGTAAGGACAGCTTACCTTAACCATCTCAACTAAATGCCTGACCCCAACCCAAACACGACATAATTCTAACCTGAGCCTTAAAACCAAGTCTGAAGGTCTGTCCGAAAGGCCAAACTGTCCTAACTTACCAAAAGTGTCCTCACTCTGAAGGTCTGAAATTCAAATTGGTCCTCACAAAGATAGCTGTACACGTACTCTAACACACACACACACACACACACACACACACACACTCACACACACACACACACACACACACTCTCTAGACCCCCTTTGTGATTCAATTGTCTGCATCAGGGCTGTTCTAAATCACTCTCCCTACTTGTCATTTATGTGGTTTACTGTTCACCATCTTACTGCTCTATCACTATCACTGTGCAAATAAATGCACTCAACTGAACCAGCTTATGATATCCTGCAGTAATGTTTCAAAAGACTATATTGTTGAACTTTATCGTGGATAGGAGCAGGTTATGGAATAGTTCAACATTTTAGGAAAGCTTATTCGCTCTCTTTCCGAGAGTGAGATGAAAAGATCAATACCACTCTCATGTCAGTACGCTAAAAATTAAGCTATACCGCCAGCAGGGGATTAGCTTAGCTTAGCAAACAGACAGGAAGCAGGGGAAAACCGCTGGCTTGGGGCTGTCTAAAGTAAAAGAAATACACCTAACAACACCTGTAAAGCTCTAAAGCTGAACTGTTGGTATAGGCGTGGCTTGGAGCTAGCTGTTTCCCCCTGCTTCCAGCCTTTATGCTAAGCTATCACCTCTTCTAGCTCCGTTTTACAACACATTCTTGCTGTGGTGAAAGTATCAATACCACATTCCTCCTCGTAAAAGATGTAGTGCGTGACCCCCTGTTGCCAGTCAGTCATGTAGTGTGAAAACCAGGTCGTGAATGAGAAGGCCCACTCCAGAAGTGAATGTGAGTGTTTGCATCATCGTTGTTCAAAGGTCTCCGTTTCTGACCTCAATCCTAAAATGGCTTCAGCAGCGTTTTTGTACGTCTCCATACTAAAGTTCTAGTGTGGATGATAGCCGTAAACTTAGCAAAAGTTAGGTTTTTTAAAACATCGTGTGGATGTAGCCTGACTGTAACGCACTTGGTTACATTTCACTACTGCATTATTTTGTGTCTAAAGCAGTAGCATGACAGGTTGATCTTTAAGATAGCTGGAGGGAGTGAAGTGACTTGGGATGACCATGAACATAATACCTTATGAATAGTAGCATGAAAGACCCACTCACCATCGCCTGCACTCTCAATTTTGCTTACTCTTTGTGTCACTGTTCTTTTTCCAAGAGACATTTCCACCCCCTACAGCTATAGATACACCCGCCTGGTGTTCCCTGTAGACTGACATGCCTGCGAAGATTCACACTTTGACCCCAGTAGCGGGGGACTTGTCTCCACAGTGGCTCCTGTTGACGCAAGCACATTTCTGACAAATGAAGGAGGAGATGACGAACGGTGATGAAGATGTGCTGAAGACTTAATATTATTAATATTCGGTATGAGATGCCATGGAGAACGAGGCCGACACTTCTGCATAGGGTAACATTAGAAAAGTATACACTGTTACTGGCTGTGGCCAGCTGACCATCTCTGGCTGTCAACCGTCTTTGTGCTACAAATAAGACCTTGGAAGCATTACGGCAGCATTTGGGAAACCAACCACAAGTGGTCGAATGTAACAAAGTAGGCCTTCATTTACTCAAGAACTGCACTGAAGTACAATTTTGAGCTTTAAAAAAAAAAGTTTAAATAACAAATAATCGTTTTTACTCCAGTGCATCTATTTGACAGCTGAGGTTAGTAATTTTTAACATATTGCATACTAAACTTTTGCTATATTTTAACTTAAATTCATATTTTTCCACAATGCATATATTTGCTTTCTTGCGGAGATGTGAAGAATTATACCACTCTCATGTCTGTATACTTTATATGTACGCCAGCAACCGCTTAGCTTAGCATTAAGACTGGAAACAGTTACCCTGACAGCCCTGAGAGGAAAGTGAGCAAAAAAATGCTTCTATTTACAACATGGGGTTGTGGTGCAACTTCAGTCTCTTGTGATCAAAATGCGTGGCCAGCTACATTGTTGGCGAGTGGCCATTGAAGTGTTGGTGAAGCATTCATTATGTCATTAAGAAGCAGTTGGATGACGGAACGGAACAGGGCGAAACAAGAACATATGATTGGTTGACGCTTCGCTGCATCATTGGAGCGCTGAAAAAAGTTAGGACCAGCTCAACGTTTTTTGCAGCGCATCACACAGCGACCAGGGTCGGGTGTCAGTTTGTTGCTTCATGTCATCATCTCGCATTGTAAAATGACTTAGCCTGTTGCTGTGTTGTGAACACAGCATTAGAGAAACCGATTTAGTTCAGACTTAGAAAATGTATACCAGAATGTCTTCACTCACTTGCCTCTCAGGGCCTTCGCAGCAATAAAAACATACAGTGTGGTTTACTTTGGGCCATTACTTTAGCTGATTCGTTAATACAATAATGGATGCTAATAATAAGCAATGTTTGATAAGATAATGCTGTGTCAGCTGGCAGGTGCATCAAGCATCAATAACATACAGCAATATGAATTGCCTTTCAAATACTTAGTTGCCTTTTCTTGGATTCACTTCTACAGCCAATGCAGCACATCTAGTATCCAGTGACTTATAGTATAAGAAACCACAAAACTACGTGCAAATCCTGCTCTTAATGTGGGTTATAAGAGGTGATGATCCAAACATTAGTGTAAGATCCGAAGGCACTAGATAAAGTGTCAAAATTGAGTTAGTTAATGGTCATCTAATCTCAGTGTACTCTATATTTCTGCAGCAAACATTAGAGCTCAACAGGTTTAGCCAGTCCATTAAACTCATCATAAATGTATAAGACTTCTTTCGCCACCACCTCACCATCTTGTCTCTCCACCATATCACGCTCTCTCTCAGAGTGCTTCTCTTTTTAAACTCCTTAGGGGTGTCGTCAGTGTTTCTTGCGCTCCTCGCTCACTGGAGGGTGTGGGCGACTTTGAGTGCCAGAAGAGATTTGAATAAGAGAGAGAGAGAGGGAAGAAATAAAAGGAAAAAGCACCACAAGCTCTCAGTCTTGCAGCAGCAAAGCGGAGACACAGGAATAACCATGCCTGAGCCAGTCCCTGCAGGTATGCAGATACTTTTTGTGAAAGCATAATTCATTTTAATTAGTTTGGAGACTGAGTTACAGTGGTGATGTTGATGCTTGGATTTGGGTTGCCTGGCTTGGTTGGAGATATTTTTCTCTTGCAATAGTTTTATATTACTTATACATCTGAGGATATAGCAGAATGATATATATATATATATAATTATATATAATGTCAGATTTCTTGATAAAAAAATATTGTATTGTGGTGTATGTCTAAGATCAATTTATTATTCATTATGTTTATGTATAGTGTGGGATAAAAAAGAATAAAACAATCTGATGCAAATAAATATACTTATATTAGGTTTTGAAGAGGAGATTAGATGTATCTAAGAGCGTGATACCTGCTGTTATGGTGTAAGATACAAACTAATTAGTTTAATATTCAGTCTAACATACTGGCAAGATTTAGCTTAAATAAGACTCCCAAGTTACTCCCAAGATACCCCCATATCAGATGACCTCAACGCTTACTGTGACGTATTCAATTTCATTTCGTAGACAGTTTCACTGATCTGAGAGCAGGAACAATATTCATAACAAAAACTATAATAGACTGAATATAATGCTTTAATGTCAAATTCGATTTGATTAAAAAAAAAGTTTAAATTTTGATATCACAATGGCAATGAACCAAATACTTGAAAAAATGATATAGAAATATCAAAAAGTGTTTATTTATATTTCTGATTAGAACGTTTATTTGTCTCTTGCTGCTGAAGATGCATGTGGCCTTTAAATTACTGTGGCTGGACAGATTGGGCGTCTCATAAATACACACATTTTGCCTATTTGTCTCCTTGTTGAAATCTGCCCATGAAGAATAGTTTAAAGTCCATAAATGATCACATAACCAGCTGCTATTACATCAGCCTAGAGAGAGCGACATCATATTTAAAAGCTTCCACAAACAGTAACTACAGCATGTACAGCAGGTAACACTGCTGCCTGCAGCTATATGTGTACTATTTCTGGACTGTACAGAGGGCCAGCTTGTGTTTCATGGTAGCTACTGTCGCTGACTAGTTCCATGTCCTTTACATAAGTTAATACTAAATCATTTTTAATACAATAGTCACAGGGGAAATTGGTTTCATTGTGTTACTATGACTTCCTTTCCTGAATTACAACAGTTTTTGATGCTTTTTAACACAATCCAACATAAGTGGGCTAATAAACATGTTAAATGATTATATTAAACTTGACCCACCGGTACTTTCATAGAGACGTGTTTCGTAAAATTAGATATTATATTTTAAAAAAGCAAACACAAAGTCAAAGTTTGATTTCATATTATTTTGCATATTAACTTTCCATTTAAGATAAAATAAATAAATATATAAAGCTTGCTTCTCCCATAAAACTGTCACATGGCACCCATGGGTGAATGCTATTTTTCTTTAATGGTTGTTTGTCCTTTGTGGAGGCGCCTGTCCTCCAATTTGACCCTGTGTGGCTCTAAATCACTGTGGCAGACAGATAAGTGAATGTCATAGCCGACGAGTCTGTTAGAGGAGTTGGGTTTTACAGGGCAAGATTGTGGGAAGTGTTGAGCCCAAACCCCTCCATCTAATTTCTTCACCGCCCATGCTCCAATAGTGAATGTAATGGGCTTTGCTGGACGTGTTAGCGCATTACTGACAAATTGTACTAAGGATTATTTGGTTATTTTTTTCTGTATCTGTCCCCGTGCTAATCATTTCACAGATCTAAGCTAGGCCCTCTTTATTTATATCCCAGAAACATTGCCAGGCACTGCTTTCATTTACCATATACAGCCACAGAGTTAATCCATGGAATGTGGATACGATCCCACTTTCCTTACGGTGTGTCAGCACCTCCCACCGTCATTCCAAGCCAAATTGGGGGTCGGATAACCAGCCAATGTGATTTAAACAGCTCAACAACTATATGCGTCTTACGATCCCATGAAACCGAAGTGGGAACATTTTCATCCTTATCTTACAGTCTAACGCCACTTATTTTCCCATGAATTAGGTCTGTATTTACACGCGGGATGAGTTGAAATGTTCTCTGTGCTGCTTCAATTAGCAGCCAGATCCCGCCCTCAGCTAACAGCTAAAAATACTCGGCAATAACCCATGACCTTTTCCACTCCCTTTTATTTCTCATGAGTTCATAGAGTTTCACACATCCAAGCATATTCTTAAGATAAGATTTTTGTTGCAACCCCCTTGCAATCCCATGTCAAATAAATCATTCCATCTAACATAAGAAATCTATCACTTCCATCCAGAGAGTTATATCATGGTCATCAGGCCTGATGCCCGATCCTGAATGTGATGTTGTTCCAATGTACTCAATCAAGCACATGACAGTTTGCTAGTCAGTGGTTGGAAGCTATGGTATGATTCATGGTCGCAATCCCTTTCATCACTGTGACCTGAAAAAACACTATGAGGGCAAGTTGAACTATAACTGTTCTTAGAAGTGTATCCATCCATATCCCAACGTTATTTATCTTTCTGAGGATGCAAAAATGATGGAATTTATTATCTCTCAGATAATAAACCACGCATAAAGGCACAACCTAAAATCCAATATACAAGCAGAAGAGCCTGTCACCAAAAATCAAACACAAGATTTAATGCTAGTTTCTACCTGCTGTCATTGCTCTATTGATGATGATTATTAACGGGAGGTTTAAAGACAGTTTTCCACCTGTACCTCACAACTATTAACACCTTCATTTAGGCGCCTTAAAATACCATACGAAAAAATGGTCCTTAAAAATGATGTACATTTACAGACACACTTGCAACTGTATGAAACAAACTGTTTCTTATAGCAGATGAAAACTTTTAGATGATGTGCTACTGAGATATCTTCACAAACTTTGACGCATGCTGTTTAAAGACACCCAGACATAAGGTCAGACTGCAATCATACCCTTTTTTTTATGTCTGGGTCATTGCACACAAAATCAGGCTGTCAGTGGTAAACACAGAGACATAAACAAAAAGTGAGGCGAAGACCTGCCGTACCTAAACTGAACTCCAGAATATATGTAAGATAGAGGAACTTATGTATAACTCATTATGCTTCCAGAAATAAACTGAAGGTAACTTTAGACAAATATTTACAGTTAACTACAGAGAGCTTGTTTACATACACTAACAACATAGGGAACAGGGTAAAAGAAAGAATTCTCCCACAAGGAAACAAACAAAGAAACCAAAAAAAACAGTATATCAAGTAAAAATCTACAACAACTTCGTTAACATATGAAACCATGGACAGTCTCTGAGGGGGACATTTAAACTGTGAGGAACAGCTGTGCAGAAGTTGATTACCACGCAGGATCAAAAAACGTGTTGGAGATGATCAAGACTCTCACCCCAAGTGGATTGATTTAGCAGATGCTAATGCAGATTTACTTTCGACGGAGGTGTTAAAACTTCTGACAGGAAGTGTGAAGTATTTACACCAAAGTCTTTGAGTTCACAATATTTTTCTTTTTTGTAAACGACAAAGTAACATGCGTATACTGTTCTGCAGTGGCGGGCCGTCAGGGCCTTGCCTTCTCTGCTGGCCTAAACAGAATCACAAAGCTATATCTATTTTAGAATTGAATATTTTTTCTTAAATACACTACATGTATTATAATTTATAAAAATATTTTTCCCATTATCTTATTTTCTCATTGCACAGCTACCGTCTTTCCTCAGGTGCTCTGCTTCCAGTGCAGCTTATTTTAAGTAGAGCTTTTATCCAATCAGATTTCACCTCTGAGTCTCTAGGTAAGAACAGAGGCCCGAGGCCTTCAGACTCACAAGTGAATCCCTTCGCAGTTTAAGTGAATGGGGACGATATTGTTGATTCTCATAGTCTTCAACCAATCAGATCTTTAGTTTGACATGTTAGGCGTATTCTTTGACATGCCAGAGCCTTCTAGCTGGCCTACAAGTACGTCAGCATTAACACGCAGCTCAGTTTTCAGGTGCAGCTCTGCAGTGAGGTGCAGCGTGCGCTGTGATTGGTCAGTGGGCGAGCACGTGACTATCGTGAAACGAAACTTAAGGAAGCTGGCAAAGCTTAGTTGGAGTGGTAAGAGTTAAAATTGAAAGATATGGAAGAAATTATATAAAAATTTGCATTTTGCTTGGTGTAGATTATTATTTTTTTACCTCGCTTTGTTTTTTAACACTCAATGGCTGAAGGAGGAGGAGAAACGGATTTGTGAGTTGGGATTTAACCGTGTGATTAAACTCTTTGTCAACAAAGAAAGGAGGATGGAGTTTGTCTTTAAGTGAAGAGCATTTTGTTAGTCAACTGCGTTTGGTTTTTTACATCTAATATCTGAATGGCCCTCGAGTGTGTAGCAGAATGCGTGTTGCTGCTGTTGTTTTCCTGTTAAGCTAGTTTAGCGTAGCCTCCCAGAACAGGTGCGGTGCCTCAGCTGTTTTTGGTTTTGTTTTTTTCTGTTCCGGGCTCAGAGGTCACAGCCCGTTGTCTCCTACGTGAGCGCAGAAAACATTATATTTCCTACAATTTAAGCTTCTGCATTTTCCAAATGCACTAGTATTATTCAAACGTATTGTTCGGTTCGTAAGCCAAACGCTTTAATATGAATACGTGTGTTCAGCTGCAGGACAGCTGTGAAGGCCCAGGTATAAAATGCACAGCCCGCCACTGTTTCTTAAGAGTTCAGAGACTTCTGTTCTGTAAGAAGCCATATGAGCTAAACATACAGTAGCTGTATACAAATGCATTGCATTAAACACAGTGCTAATAAGATATCAGCCGTTTGCATGAGGACCCACGTGGGCGCAGTCTGCCTACACTGCTGTATGAGAAAGGATAAATAATGTTATGTGCATTACGACAGAACAGAGAGACAAAATAGTAATTATAACTTGCATACATTGTAAATTCAAGACAGCTATTTTAGCAAGTTATTTAAGACAAACCTTAAGTGACCAGTAAAGCATGCGAGGTCAAGTGGGTTGACTATTCAAGGAAACTTGAAATAACGTGGCATGACTTCAGGCAGGTCATAAGACACCGTCCCTGGCCTTTAGCTGCTACTGCAGTTGCCCTCAGGGAGATACCCGACGAGTTGGGTATATTATATGCATCTATTTCAGTTGAGAATTTCCTTTTACCAGATTTAGGCCTCAACAATCCCACCCTCATCTCTCTGCACTCGAATCAAACTGACTGTTTGTCATCCTCTATTGCTCCAATTGGACCATGGAAGCATTTCTCGCCAATAGGTGAAGATGGTAGAGTGAATTTATAAAATAAGTGGGGGATGAAATAATCATCGAATTACTGACATCTGGGTCAAGATATCCTTTTAAAGATTTGTGCTAGAGGCTATGCGGCTTGAAATAAATTTCAAGGTGGCCGTCTCACAGAATGTGTATCCTCTTACCTGGTTGGTAGTCGGCCTATTTTAGATTTATGGACCGAGATTACTAGCTTTAGATGTACTCTAAACATTCCTGAAATGACAGTTGTAGATAATGCCATCAGTTTAAGACAAATATCCAGTTAGATATCATAAACTGATTGCAATTAAAAGAGGAAAATATGGATCAAGATCCATGATCACTTAATATTATTTAAGATAAAAGAGGGCATCCCAAATAACGTTAAACGGATTGTTAATATGTGTACAAATACAGTTTCTAATCATCTCCTCATTCTGTTTCTAATTCTCAGATAAACCGGAGGAGGGGCATGGTAAGTCAGCTTCTACACCACATTTGCCTACTGACCTTTTGTGGGCCATCACATAGTGAATTAATTATGGCTCTCACATTTTGGCTCACATGTCAACTGCCCGTGTCAAGCAAACACAGGCTCTGACTCTGAGGGTGTTTAATCAGCATGCACCATCCTTCATTGAACTTTGAATTTAACGCGTGCACGCCAGCATATGTTTCTATATTTTTACCTTCAGGCATTTCCACTGAGAATCTAATGTACTGTAGATTATCAGGTTACTGAAGCGCTCAACTCAGCTGTCTTGTTTCAGTGTGGTCATGTGATACCGGTCTGGATTTTATACGTTACACACTCATACAATCTGTTTGCTCAGCTGTTGTATATGTGTTTTCCAAAGGGGCTACCACGGTATTACTTTTCATTGTATGTCTCACAAAAATCCGTTAATTTTAGCCCCAGAGGAGCCAGCTGAAGAGGGTGAGGGACAATGATTTCCTCTTTTTCCCCCCTTTTTTGTGACTTTGAGTGATTCAGTGCATTCACACGGTGTTATTATGTGACATGGAGTGGGTTTGAGTTGAGTGTTGTGCATTTGAGCTAATCAGTCAGGGTAATTATCTGAATAACACGGAACAAGTGGTTTTGCTGTAGATAATAAGTTGAACAATTACTGAGTCAACATGATAGGCCTGTAAGTCAATCACATCACATGAGACAACATGGAGCCGCTGAAGGGGGATAATGCAAATATTATGCCACTTTCATTCAGCGCGTTAGTGCTTCTTAGCGAGCCCACATGAGCATGCGTCACACGTGAAACTACATCTGGAGTGTGTGGCGACAGATTTTATTTCCTCAGATTATTGTGACAATCTAATGTCAGAAATCAGCAAAGTGATGTCATGCACATGTTTGTAGCCTACAGTGTATCACAGCAACGTGTCAATCCATGTCTTTCTGATTTCCTGTCTTATGTTGATGACCTGCCTAATGGGAATTAATATTCTTGTTTCCTTTTTGGTGTTTTTTGAGTGGAAAAAAAACTTTTATTTTTGAGTTGTTTAGCATGTTGGACCGAAATTATTCATATGTATGATGTAGACAAGACAGACCATCTGTGTGGATTTTAATATAAACTGACTAACAGAACAACTTGATCCATTTTCCAAATCACCTTTGGGTTACAGTTCACTATGGGCATGTGATCACATCTCTATAAGTTCACATGTGGTTGAGTTTATCCGGAGATAGTCCTGTTTCCAATCACTTAACCATGAATTATATTTGCCCAGTTGAACTGCAGCAAAGGGAAGATGGTACCTCTTAGTGTCAGGGAATGATACAATTGTTCTATTAACTTTTGCCTCGGCACCCTCAATTATGACTAGATGTAGTAAATAATTACAGCCATTCATTTTCTTTAGATGCACTCCCCGCAGACGGAGGTAAGAAAGAATCCTGTACTTTGAATGTTCTGGTTCGATATGTCCGTCTATATAATCCATCCAATGTATTCACATATAAGTGCATACATGTGCCACTCAGTGTTAAAATTACACTATCTGCATGACTGTTGAATTTGTATATTCTATTTTCAAAGCTCTTTCCCATTTGGCTCAGGTGACCTGCACACCTGTTTTGTTATCTGTTTTTTTGAACACCCCAAAAATACACGATTTATTTAAATTATTTAAATTATTTAATTTATAAATATGCTCGTCAATGATTGATATGCTGCAATGACATACATTAAATAGCAGGATTAAAAAATGTCATGTTGAATGCCTTATTTTTTTGTCATCACTGGACTGATACATATACTTTATAGTATATGCTATGTGTGAACTTAACCTTGGTTTGGTTTTACATTATTTGCAACATGGTCATTTCTGAAATGTATGTTGTACTTCCAGGTACAGTATAAAAGCATATATTGCATTTTAAGTTGTGGTTTCTGGGTGTCTCTACCATAAGTGTATGTATTTCTATGTGTTATATTTATCAACATATATATTTATTATTTCATGTAGTAACACTAAATGTGTAAAAGGAGAATAAGTCAACTTTTTATTAAATGTGATGGTGGATGGAGCTTCTGTTCTTTGTTCAATGGTCTCCGTTGCAACTGTGCGTGATCTGCAACAAGCATTTGCTTCCTAGCTGCTTTTTTCAGTTGACTTTGCTTCCTTGTCTGTAGCAGATTCAGAAGCTGATGGGGATGGTAAGGAAAGAGCAACGTTTATAGCGACATGTCTTTTCATTATTTACTTTTGCTCTTCCAAAAGTATGCTTTGAGTGTTTTATGTTTACGTATGTATAGTTTTGGTATTATGTGCTAGTCAAGATGTCACATAATATACATGAAGTGTTAAGTGGACCTCTTATTGTTTGAAATATTTTTGATTACTTCAATTTGGACTGAAATCAAGGAAAACTGTTCAAATGCTTTTTTACAGAAAAAAATAAAATTTGGTTTCCATAGTTGTATTTAAGTCGTCTTTGGCTTAAGTGAAAACACGGTTCTTTGCTCTGTAGAGAATTTTTACATTTTCTTCTCATTGTTGATTGACAGTCACAAGTTCTTTTGTTAGTCTCTCCATGCAGTGGTTTGTCACAGAGCTGCTGGCGAGATCCTAAATGTAATATAAGTATGCAGGGTGGCTCCACTTGCTTCAGCCCTCATATCTTACAGATCCCATGAAGATCCCTGCAAAAAAAAAAACCCCAGAGCTTGCAACTTCTTGTAGCTCTGCAGTAGTTAGCCGAAGACAAAGCCACACCTCAGGCCTACGACATACCCTCTGCTGTGTAAAAGAGGAAAAAAGGTGTGACCTAATGTGGTCTCATCTGCAGTTTAGTGCGTAATGTTATCCTTGTCTCATTCACCGCTGATACATCTCACTGACAAATTATGCTGTTTATATCCTTTTAGCAATTCAGAATTATTTCCCCATGTGAAGAGTGCTGCGAATCCCATTACATCTGCAAGCTATGATACCAGCTCTCTTTTGCCTTTGCCCCTCTGGCAATTTAAACAATGAGAATGGAAACACAGCTGTGATTTATGTGTAGCATTTATTGTGGAACAATGGCAGCTGTTGCTGCTAACATATCAAGTGTCATCTGATTAGACGACACTTTTATTAACAGTATGCTGCACTAGGAAATGGCAAAGAGAGCTCAAGCAGCGAGGTCATCCAAGATATCTTAGCCAGTACATCGATGCCTCAAAACTGCACAATGAAAAGACATACTGGGTCATGTTTTATCCTCTATCTGATGGCCAAAGACTAAACCATGGTTGTATATCAGAGCTATGCAGTGTGACTCAGAAGTCAGCCATCTAAAAATGTCCACGCTACTCAGGTTTTACAAGTGAAATTCAAGAGCTTTTATTCATGTTACAAAGTGTCCTCTCTCAGCCACGGTCTTTCAAGGGCACAGCTCCAAGGGTGATGCATTGGAAGTCGATCTGGACTGATAAGGGGTGGATTGGATGGAGAAGGGTTAGGGATGTGACAAGACACCAGGGAGCTGAGGGAGCTGTGTAGGCTGCTAGTTCCTTGTGGTGCCCTTCAAATTATATGTGAAATGTCCCTGTAACTGCTGAGCCTGGGGGGGGAATCACTGACATTAACAATCGTTTCCCCACTGGGACACAAGTCCATAATCTTCTGTGCAGTGCATAAAATCACATGTTAAGGAGAGATCTGTTGCATTCCTCGGCTCTGCAGGGCAGAGGTGGTTATAGCCAAAGACTCCTCCTTAAGGTGGTGTGGCTGGTTTGTGTGCTCACAACCACATTGCTATCTTGGGGAGGTTGGCTGGCGATCTGAAACTCACTCTAAACTATGACGTGCTAAGAAAAGAGAGGTCAAGCAGACAGGGGGAGCTCACCATATGTTCAGTTTGGTTACTGCCATGGATGTCACGTCCATAAATTACTTGTGTAATGAGTCCTGTGATGCTTCTGAGCTTTATCTCTTCTTGGCATTTATGAGTGCACATCGCATTCTCCGCCTTTCATGAATGTCCTTCACTGCATGTTGGGCTCTGTAAGCTCCTCCTGCAGTACAGAAGCATTGGTTGCCCAGAGGGAAGAAAGGTATACTGTTCTGCAGATGTACCAGACAGAGCTCAGCATAAGCTGCTACACATATAGGGGAAGGAAAAGACAAGCACGTTGGCAGTGTATGATTAGAGGAAAAACTGGAGCATGAAACAAAGAAGTAAAAGAGCTCAGCAAGTGGAAACTCTGCATAGTATAAACACCTTGTGGTTGTCTCTATCAGCTATGTGCCTCCCACAGCTGCTTCTCTTGGGCAAGCTAGGTTTCGCAAAATGCTAATTTTGCATGGTGAGGAAATTTAATTCAACATTTTAGCAAGTCGGAAGCATGGCTATCACGCACGCTAGGCTTAATCCAAAGACAGCAGCTGAAGAAAGTTCAGAGGGAAACCTGAGGACACTATTCTTTGGTCAGAACTCTGCCCAGTCTAGATGCCAGGACATCCATATCCAATTTTAGCCATCGCAACAGGCTTATACAAAGACTAACCTGCCATAGGTGCACAGTTTGGCCAGAGTTGTTTTAGTCTCAGGGTATCTTGAGAGGGAAATGCGACAAACTTTTATACAAAGTATTATATTCGTAACACGTCATGGTCCTAAACAAAAAATAAACTAAATGTCTTTACACTTCAGTGGTGTATTTAGGCAGCCTGGGGTGCACATGCTCTGCATTGCCGTCTTAGCGACAAGCAGCAATATCAGTCCAAAAGAAGTAATCATGGTGATTTCAATTCACCACAAGTTTGGTGATTAAAAGCGCAGTAATCAACACATTTGATTACTTTATCTTTTGATTGATAACCTTCACGATCTTGATTCTGTTGTGGTTTGTACTTCACTGTGTGGTGTAATAATTCTACAGAATGATCATTCTGTAATTGCTGTTCACTTACCTCAAGAGTTTACACAGACTTATGGTACAGTATAACTGCAAATGGTTATACTTCCATATGCAGGGATGTTTGTTTTTCCCAGCCAAAGCAAACCCTGCAGAGGAGGGTAGGGATGAGCTGGAGGCACAGTTGCTGCATGCAAATGTGACGTTATGAAATGCAGTTGTATGCATCCTATGTGTTGTTATGTATTAGTCAAATATGGCAAATAAAGATGTCAACCGATTGGATGTGTTAGGGCAAAGAATGACCAGAGGGATTTTTGAGTATCTTGAGTAACTTGCACTGTATAGTATGACTTCAATTAGACACCAATGTTAATGGCGTATGCATTGTTTACTCATTTGCACCTTGAATGCCAAATCTTTGATATGGGTGCTGATGTATGGAGGCCAACGGGTGCACTCTATCTTGCTATAAGGATAGCATGCCAACTTCTGATTTTGGATCAGTCTTTGCAAAATTAGAAGTACACTTTAATCCGTTATGACTGGGGAGGACAGAAATTGCTGCTCTACTGGAAGTGTCCATACAGTACTGCGGAGTAACTCACTATAACATCACTACTTTCATGCCAAAGCACAAAACAATAGCACATAACATTTACTTTTCATATTTCTAATGTCATTTGTCAAGAAAAGCCAGAACATGGCTAATTGTGCTTAAAATCAAGTGCAAAACTGTAGTGGTTACATCTGTGATTTGTGTATTTGTGCATTTGTTAGGAAGGTGAGTCTAACTCTGCATACAAAACAGGTTTTGATATAGCTGATATAGCTTTAATGAAATGCTAGTTAGTGAATATTTGGGAATAAGAATACATTTTATTTGTATTACAATTTATAAAGCTACTCAACATTACATGGTAAAAAACAAACCAATAAAAGCAATAATAATAGACGCAACGCAGAGAGATGACATTATAAAAACAAAACAAAAAACATACATAACTAGCATCACAGGTTCAAAGCAGATTGAAAAAGATGAGTTTTGAGTGCAGTTTTAAAAGTGGCGAGGTGCTGAGGGAGAGAGTTCCAGAGCGAGAGGGCAGAAACAGTTTACTTGTTATACTTCCTCCTCTGTGTTTGAGTGTTTTTTGCCAATTGTTGTTGGTTCATTATTTTGTGTTTATTGTGTTTCATATACATTGTATGTGCGCAGTCTGTGTGCAGTTGTGATTCAGATTTGTTTCATAATTGTTGGTAAAATGTCCAAACATTTTACTGTGTCATTTGCACTTTGGTTTGTTGCACACTGAGGACATTGCCAATAACACTGAAGGGCTATTAAAAAAAAACAAATTCAGAGTATATAAGGGAACTAACGTCTTTCTCCTCTTTTTCAGAGTCCGGGTCGACTGAGCTCAGTGGGCTCTTTGTCGAGAAGCCACCAGCAAATATAAGCGCTGTTGCAGGTTAGAAATGGGAATGGATAAAATACGGCATGTAATGAGTCTGAGCTGAGTCTGGGAGCTGGTTTTTTACAGTGATCAGAGGGGTCGCGAAACAGTATAGCAATCCATACGGAGTGTGCTGATTACGTAATGTCATATGACTTAATTGCTCTTTTTGAATGGCAGGAATGGATGTCACTATCATAGCCAAGGTTGATTCGACCACCCTGGCAAGAAAACCCACCATGAAATGGCTGAAGGGCAAGTGGTTGGACCTCGGGAGCAAGGCTGGAAAACATGTGCAGTTCAAAGAAACTTACGACAGGAATACTAAGGTTTGTGTTAGACAGAGAATCTGATTCTCTTCCTTCAGAAATAACTAAGACACTAAGAAGTAATTAAGCAATACCGCCACTCCCCCCCAGATCTACACCTATGAAATGAAGATAATAAAATCAGTAACCGGAGATTCTGGGGGCTACAGGTGTGAGGTGACGGCAAAAGACAAGTGTGACAGCTCCACCTTTGAGATCTCTGTTGAGGGTGAGTGACAACGGACTCTGGCCTGCCACGGCTGCTCACAGATTCCATACGTGCAGATGTTTTGATCTGATTCAGCCCTAATGTGCATTCTCTGCAACTTCTCTTGTTACAGCTGCACAGCAGGAGGCGCAAGCAGATATTTTGTCTGCCTTCAAGAGAGCGTAAGGGCACCTGTGTTTGCATTTCAGCTTGTCTCAGTGGCGTATGTGAATACACAAAATGGAAAAACGCATACATAGACTATTTATAATGTGTTTGTGTGTGTGACTGTGTTTTTCAGCACAGATGGTAGATGACAGTATAGTAAATTGAATGTGCCATGTCAGATGGTATGCCTGATCCTGATTACACTGTATGCTTTGTATACTATACGTCTGTTTCCGTACAAACAGGGATGGTGGAGAGGACGACGGAAATCTGGATTTCAGTGCTCTGCTGAAAGCTGCGAAGAAGTGAGAAAATGGGCACTATTTGGTTTGCAAAGATATCGAGCACACAATACGATTGTTTCCTTGAAGAAAGAAAGTGTTGCTTCTCCAGTCCCAATTGCATGCCTGTCCCTTTCTCTTGACTAACAGGAAGAAGGTAAAAGAGGAACCAGAGATCGACGTGTGGGAATTGCTTAAGAGTGCCCATCCGAGCGAGTACGAGAAAATCGCCTTTGAGTATGGCATCACTGACCTGAGGGGCATGCTGAAACGCCTGAAAAAGATGAAGGTCGTCGAGCCCAAGTATAGCGATGGTAAGTCAGATTTAACCTCAGAGGATGTGGAGAGGTAAGGACAGCAGGCGAGGTAAACGGGCAAGAGGAAAGGCACCATGAAACTGGACAGAGAGGAGAGGTTTTCACTAACTGATGAGTTGCTAATTCTTCATTTGATCATTTCTGTCCACAACCCCAGCTTTCCTGAAGAGACTCGACTCTTGCTACTCGGTGGAAAAGGGCAAGAAGATTTTCCTGAGATGCGAGGTGGTCGATCCTGACATGCAGGTCAAATGGTTGAAGAACGGCCAGGAGATCAAACCCTCAGCCAAGTACATTCTTAAAAGCAGAAGCACATGTACACACACAGACACACCAGTTGTCATTAGTTCACATAAAACACCTTCAGTGTCTTTTTTCACCATGCTAAGCTCCATGCAAGAAATTCGCTTAATTAAAGTGCGTTGGGCTGTATCACATTAATTCATGCTTAGATGGACTTGATGGCCAGTGTTTAAAATTATCTTGGCCACAAAGTCATGCTCATCAGCAGGTTTTATTTTTAGGCAGTCATAAGGAGCCTCCCATTGGGTTAAAGGACCAGTGTGCAGGATTTAGTGACATCAAGCGGTGAAACATGACGGTGCAACATGGGGGTTTTCTCAGAAGACGACATGCTCCCTATGACGATAGGCAAGGCTCATTCTAAGCTAACAAAATCACAACCATTATTAGTTCCTGGTGATTATACACTAATGGGAATATAATGGATATTACATTCGATTTCTGCCAAAAGATCCCCCTAAAACCTACGCACTGGCCCTTTAAACAAGTCTCACTGCCAAGACATCTTATGCCTTATGTACACCAATGCAGATACACCCCCACATGTCTACGTTAAATAAATAGATAAAGACACAAGGTTAGGGGCAATAGGTTGTCTTTTATTACACAAGCACTTATCAATAATAGGCGGTTCAGTTCCCAAGCATGACATCAACTGGACTAAGGACAGGTTTGGATGAATGTGATACGCAAAGTCAAATACACAGAGAGAAAGTACTACAAAGAGGTAAGATGCAATGAAGCTACACTGTCAAATGACTCAAGCAGCTAACACTCTGGAGGTAAACAACATGCTTGAAAACCCTAAACCCGAGTGCTTCGGCTCAGGTTTTAAAAAAGGGCAGCAAATATAGGAAATATGTTGTGAAAAAAAACATGAATACACTAAAAAAGCAGCTGACAACCAGTGCCCATGTGTGCAAAAAAAGGCTCTGAAATGATTGCTTTATTCTCCAAAAAAATCAAAATACCAATCACAAACATACCAAAATAAGAAACACTATACAATATGTGACATAGAATAGAATACAAAAATAAAAGGGAGAACGGAAACTAGATTAACTCAATTAAATTGTTGGCGGGGGACCACTAGCCTCATCCGCGCAGTATATTTACCACTTGTCATGGAGAATGAAAAGCTACACCTGCATGACTCACATATGCAATATAGATTACAAATTACAAACTGTTAATACCGTCTTTAAATTGTACATGAAGCAGTCTGTGAGTTGTGAAGTTTAAGACCAAACAACAAACATACATGTCGCACGTATTTACATTGACATTCACCGCCAATCAGGAAGTGATAGGACCCCAGACACCAGGAGCTGCCCGTGACTATGCCTGTGCGTATATGTCCTGTAATTTGGGTAGGGAGTTAATACAGTCATTTGGTACACCCGCCCAACCCACCGGTTTGGCTACACATTAAATAGGTCTGTCAATCTTTCAACAAAAAACAATAGGCAACATCACTTAAAGTTAGGCCTACATTTCAAATAAAACCTACACTATTTTTTCTCAGTATGATTATTTGAAGACATTTGTGCTAAAATATATCACTGGCTTGATCAAGGAATACTTTTAATCTATTTGTCATTTTTCAAGGTACATCATGGAGGCAAATGGGAACGTCAGAACTCTCACCATCAGTAGGGCGACCCTGGCTGATGATGCTGCGTATGAGTGTGTGTTTGGAGATGACAAGTGTTTCACCGAGGTCTTTGTCAAAGGTGCAGCATCTTTTCTTTTTGACAGTTCATCAGCAATAAACAATCGGACGTAATTCATGTGAGGTTGTAAACCTCATGGCAATAGCATTGAGTTCCTACTGAATGCATGGATCATGACGTCCCTCTCTGCTCTTCCCAGAGCCCCCTGTGACCATCAGCAAGCTGATGGACGACTATCATGTGGTTGTTGGAGAGAGAGTAGAGTTTGAGATCGAGGTGTCGGAGGAGGGCGCCCACGTCATGTGGTCAGTATTTCTATAATTTAGCAATAATGGCTCAAAGCATTTTTTAGCAGTCATTGAATGGTGGCAACATCATAGCATGTCCTGTAAATTTACATCAGACTCATGCTTGCTGTTACTATTAACTATTAAACATTTAGCAGTGACGTGTTTCAAAGAGATGTGCTCATATTTTACTATTTTCCAGGTACTTTGAGGATATAGAGATTCTAAAAGAGCAAGACTCCAAGTATCGCATTAAGAAGGATGGAAGGAAGCACTGTCTTATCCTCCAGGAGGCTACGCTGAATGACATCGGAATGTACCATGCTTGGACAAACGGGGGCCATACCAAAGGAGAGCTGGAGGTGGAAGGTACGACTGGAAAATATAATATTCTAATTTGGGTTTTAGTGTGTCAAGTGTTTTGAAAGCAGACTTTATTTTACATAGACTTGCTATATTTAGTCTGGGTTTTCTGTCATTTAAATGCAGTGCTGAGGATGCAGCTGAATTTAACTGCTGGCCCAAGGTCTTAAAGCCTCTCTTTACAAATAAACTAACAACTCATGGCAGTGGGTGTCAAGATGTTGCAATCATGGACCTTATTCTCCCTCCTCCCCCCCTACCTGCATACTCTCTTCTCTCCAGCCTGAACTGTTCTCTTGTGGTTTCCAATGTCTTATTCAGAAAAACAACTGGAGGTCTTGCAGGACATTGCTGACCTGACAGTCAAGGCAACAGACCAGGCTTTGTTCAAGTGTGAGGTGTCTGATGAAAAGGTCACAGGAAAGTGGTTCAAAGACGGAGTGGAGGTCTTGCCAACTGATCGCATCAAAATGACTCACATTGGAAGGTACAAGGACATAAAGATATATTCAAGTGCATTTTTTGAATATTTGTCATAACTAAGGATCAAACACATCTTGCATTTTTCGCCTATGTGTCGTTTTTTTTCTTGCTCAATATCTTCTGTGTTGCTTGTTTCAGGTTTCATCGGCTGATTATTGATAATGTGAAGCCAGAAGATGCTGGAGACTACACATTTATTCCTGACGGATACGCTCTCTCAATTTCTGCCAAACTCAACTTCTTGGGTGAGAAAGAAAAAATGATTACAAAGGTGCTATCATGGATGCATTAATCATCAGCAGCCTACATAATAAAGTCATCTCCTTTTTTTTATTCTCAAAACAGAAATTAAGGTTGACTACGTGCCAAGACAAGGTAGGCAGCCTTGCATTACCTCGCTTCACAAATATTTCAAATCTCTTTTAATCGTCGTATCTCAAACCTAGTTCCTCACGCACTCTTACTTTGTATGTTGTACATTAACCAGATCCTCCAAAGATCCACCTGGACACCACCGGAAACATGGTCTCACAAAACACCATCATTGTGGTGGCAGGCAACAAGCTGCGCCTGGATGTGGAGATCACAGGAGAGCCAGCACCCACCGTTGTGTGGTCGAAAGGAGATGAAGTAAGTATGTGACAAGTAAAGGGTCGTCACTAAATTAATGTTCATTTCGGTTTGCATAACTTGTCACGAGCGTGTGCATTTATCAGAGACGAGTCATCCGGAAGACATAACTTAGCTAACATAACAGCCAACTTCAATATGACAGGAAAAAGATGATGTTTCCAAAATGACCACTTGCATTTTCACGGCCATGGCGTCCATGATGTTGGAAGGTCAGACTAACCTGTTTGTGCAGCATGGCCTGTTTTTTAATTATGATTCTGTGCTCTTTATCTCCTCTCCCTCTGTGTCTCTGTCACTCGGCTTCAGTTAAATGCCACTTCACCAGAAAACAAAACTGTCGTTCTGTTGAGATATGGCCCAACCAATGGGAATGTTTGTGCCCACGGGCAGTTAGGGGGCAGAGGGGTGCAAAGGAGGCTGTCCCTGATGTATTCGGTCAGAGTGCCAAAGTGCCCTTTTTGGAAACAGGATATGTCTGTGTCCTAGTGGGACAACTCCATGATTCATATTTTGCCTCAGTTTCACATCACTATAATGCTTTGGTGACCACTGGTAAGCTAAAGTGCTGCCAGAGTCTCCCTCTGGTCAACTCAAATGTCTCATGAATGTCCTTTTGTGATTTGCCCCAAAGCCTCTCTGTTTGTGCCGCTCTGCGTGGCTTTTAGGGTGAACCCTGCTTCTAACCTTTCTTTAATTTTCACACCTCCACCCCAGAGAATCTTTGCACAACCCTGATGAAAGAGAACTGTTATATAGATTTTAGTGACAAGCAACCCAAATTTTGGGGAGTTAAAAAGTCGCTCTTAATCACCCCTGACTTGTTTAGTTAGCTCTGCTTGACCCAGATGTTGCGTCCTAAAGAAAAAATTGCATATTGCACCTTTAGCACATCAGATGCACTGTGCCGATTTGAACGACTAGTACAAAGTTACCCAGGGCGCTTAGACTCTGCAACTTTCCCTTTTGTTAGCAAATTATAGCCACCGAAGGGCGCCTAAGGGTGGAGGCCAGGAAAGACCTGAGCTGCTTCGTCATAGAGGGGGCAGAGAGGGAAGATGAGGGCAACTACACGATCTGTGTTACCAACCCTGCTGGAGAGGACAAGGCTATGCTGTTTGTGAAGATTGTGGGTAAGTGAAGAGCTTATAGTAGAATGGCAACCGGTAGTAACTGATGTGCCGCCATGTGGTTTACAAATCCCCAGTTTCAAATTATTTATATGTATTTCAAACCTCTCTAATGTACGTTAACACTAACTGTCATCTTATTTTAGATGTGCCTGACCCCCCTCAGAATGTGAAATGCCTATCAGTGGGAGAGGACTGCGCCAGCATGGTTTGGGACGTCCCTGTATTTGATGGCGGTGCACCACTCAAAGGTAAAGGATACATTTTGTCTTAACCTTTTCATATCTAATGCGCTATAGGGTTTCTGGGTGTCTTCAATTATTTTTCTGTTTTTTCTCCATCAGGTTATCTCATGGAGAGGAAGAAGAAGGGCTCCTCAAGATGGACGAAGCTCAACTTTGATGTGTATGAATCGACTTCATATGAGGCTAAGAGGATGATTGAAGGTGTTATGTATGAGATGAGGGTGTTTGCTATCAACAGCATTGGCATGTCTCAGCCAAGTCTCACCTCCAAACCCTTCATGCCTATTGGTACGTATCGCAGCCATCTTCACTGAGTCTTCCTTTGCTTCCTCCCTCTGTGCGGTCCTCATCTTCTGTCACCCCACTCCACTGATTCTCTTGGGTCTCTCTTCCTGTCACCCTCAGCCCCGACTAGCGAGCCAATACGTCTGTCAGTGAATGATGTGACAGACAGCACGTGCACCCTGAAGTGGCTCGCCCCAGAGAAGATTGGAGCTGGAGGCCTGGATGGCTTTCTTATTGAATACTGCAAAGACGGAGGTGATGAAACTAATAGTTCTGTTTAGAAAAATCTGAGCATTCACTGGCAATTTAACAAGATTCTTGAATTAAATTAGAACTTAAGGGTATGTATGTGATAGCTGAATTTATTTTTAAAAACGGCACAGGTTTATGTCCATAATGCTATCACAATGAATGTACGTAATAAAGAGAACAAAAACCTAACAAGCAACAGGATTGAAATCCCACTCACTGTGATTTACTGCATGTAATTCTCTTTTATTTCAGACACTGAGTGGGTGGTGGCAAACCAGGAGCTTTGTGAAAGGCAGGGATTTGTGGTGCGTGGCCTGCCCGTGGGAGAGAAGATCAACTTTAGGGTGGTGGCAGTAAACATCGCTGGACGCAGTCCTCCAGCTCTGCTGTCACAGCCCGTCACCATCCGTGAGATCATGGGTGAGTCAGTCAGGATGAGTTGTGAACGAGTCAAAGAGCACCTCATATTGAGCTACTGAGCTTGCTATGGTTTATATTGGCAAATGCTTCATACTACAATTTCTTTTCATGCTTTAGAGTATCCTAAGATCCGGCTCCCTCGCGACCTGAGAACAAAGTACATCAGGAAAGTAGGAGAAAAGATCAACCTGACCATCACCTTCCAGGTTAGAAACAAACCTGATGTTTCATATTTTGCTTGTGAAGCTGTGTTACGATATACTAAAATAAACCATATGAAAATAAATACAAGTGAGATGTACAAAAAGATGTACAAATAAAGGCATTATGACTATTTACCTTTAAAGGGGGACTGTGTACAGGTGTTACTGCAGATCCTAAAACATTTTATGCAGCCTTTTGTGGCTGCAGAGGGAGCTGCATTGAAGAAATGACATCTCTGGTTCCGCTGCATCGATTTTGATGTTCTTTTTTAATGTCCACTGTTAGTCAGTGTTATAGGAGTTCAATGCTAAATGCATTTTTAATCCGAAAAGCCCAATTACATTTTTTTCAACAATACTATTTGCCCTTTTTATGACCCAGCTTACTTTAGAGAGAAACTCTAAAACAAAGCAGATTCTCATTTTCCTGTAAATCAGTAGCTTATAACATACACAGTGGCTATGTGCCGTATCTTGTCAGCTAATATATTACCATATCCAAGAAATAATTACGAGGAAATCTTTTTCATCCTGAACAATGGGTCACTTTTGTGTCTTATAGGGTAAGCCACGTCCTGTCGCAACCTGGTACAAAGATGGTCAACCCATCGACCCCACGATGGTCAGCATCCGCAACTCAAATGTGGACACCATCCTCTTCATCCGCCAAGCAGAGAGAGAGCACTCTGGAACGTATGAGCTGGTGCTGAAGATTGAGAACATGGAGGACAGAGCCAGCATTGTCCTCAGGATTGTGGGTAAGGTTGTCAGCTCTCTGCAACAGCGGACGTCCGTTTCTACTTTATCTGTCTGTGTCTGCATTTCAGCGAGAACTATTCATTTAAGAAAAAATCTATTTGAAGAAAAGCACTCCTTGGACGATCTGAAATTCATCACAACTGCAATGAAATTAACATCTGACATTTATTCCATCCAGATAAACCTGGACCTCCTCAGAACCTGAAGGTGACAGACGTCTGGGGCTTCAATGCAGCTCTGGAGTGGCAACCCCCCAAGGATGATGGCAACTGTGAGATTTCTGGATACACCATCCAGAAGGCAGACATGAAGACTAAGGTGAGAGAGGAAGCGGAGGTAGCGTTTCAAACTTACAGTGGATCAACACTATGGTCACCTGCTTTCAGGGCCTGCAGCTCAACTATAGTGCTGAGATTACCTCTAGCCAGTGTTTGACACTTGGTTTATTCCATATGCTCAATTTGTGGTTCACCTTTTTCTCTCTTTTCAGGAATGGTTCACTGTTTACGAGCACAACAGACGGCCAAACTGCACATCTTCAGAGCTGATCATGGGCAATGAATACATGTTCCGTGTCTTCAGTGAAAACCTCTGCGGCCTGAGCGACGAGGCGCGCGTAAGCAAGAACACGGCCGTCATTGCCAAGACAGGTGTGTGCATGTGGTTTGCATTTAATACCATCATTGGAGATGTCAAGTAAAATGTGACATGATTTATGGGAGTTGACCACGTTTGCCTGCCCTCCCACCCTTCTCCATAGCACTGGACCACAAAAAAAGCCCCTACAAGGAGAAAGAGATATGCTGTGTGCCCAAGTTTACTCAGCCCCTGGTTGACAGATCCGTAGTGGCCGGTTACAGCACCGCCATCAGCTGCGCCGTGAAAGGCTACCCCAAGGTAAACATGCATGTTAAAATAGCCTGTGGAGCATGAGTCACAGGAGGAGGCGGACAGCGCCGGTTCTCATAAGCAAATTAAAGTCTGAAGTTCCCTGTAAAAGGGATTTGTATGCAAACAGTTGCCTTTCATATCAAACAACGCTGCATAAAAAGAAATTCTTCTATCTAAAAATTTGATTTGTTGCACCTGATTATTTACTAATTTGACTTTTTCACGTCTCAGCCTAAGATTGTTTGGATGAAGAACAAGATGATCCTCGGTCAGGATCCCAAGTTCTTGATGCGGAACTACCAGGGAGTGCTGACCCTCAACATTCGCAAGCCAGGCACCTTCGACGCAGGGAAATACACCTGCATGGCTGTCAATGAGCTGGGCAAGGACGAAGTGGAGTGCAAGCTGGACGTCCGAAGTAAGAGCAGAGGGGATGAGAGGTTGGAGGCAGATGGGAGGGGAGGGATGATGGAGGAGGGAGAGCGTTGGTAATATGACTGCAAGATGAGTTTCTTTTGTTGGGTGGAATGGAGACGATTAGTACGTGGTTAGTTTTGATTATGGGATACACACTCAAAGCTGACTGTGTACACAATGACAGCTGCAACAGAATTGAATTGTTTGAATGTGGATATGAAAAACAATACTTGCCATTCAATTTGGATTTATTTCAACAAAATCTAACTCTTATCATCTGTCCTGTCATCCCACAGTGGCCAGAGATCCAGACAAGCAGTGAGAAAACGAACAGCAAAGAATTTGAAATAATTTGAGCCAAACGGTGAATGAGTACACACTGTCAAGGGTGAATCTAATAAAATATAGTGATGCCTTCTATAAATAATTGTTTATTTTGAATGTTTCATTTTTTATCTATATTCTTTTAGTCATACAAACATTATACAGAGAAGCTCACAAACTTTCCACACACCCAATCAGGATCTAAGATTTTAAATACATGGCACATTATTATTAGAGAAGCACCTCTCTGTATTTTTGGCACATGTGTGACAGTTGTCTGCACTACACCTCCCTGGAGTAGTGCGCTCTCCTCCTATGGATTGGCACTCCTATACTGAACAACAGCGCCACTGCCAGGAGACCAACAGCCACTGCAAGAGCTGTTATGACACCTGTGGGAGACAACAATCCTGTTTAGGCGAATGTGAATATGGAACATTTGGAAGATTTCCAAAAAACATGATATTTTTAAATCAGACAGTTTGTGCTGAAAATCCGCTTGGCTGGTCCCTAAAGTAAATACAGGAATAAACATATTGCAGTGATGCATTAACAAGGCCAAAAATATTTGTTGAAATAGAAGTCATGAGAATATATCGAATTTCACTTCTTCACCTGTGCTTGACAATCTGGTCCTGAACCCACACTCAGCCTCCCAGTCCTCTGCCACCACGTCCCGCACCAGCTCAGTGAACGTGGACAAAGGGCAGGGGTTCAACCCGTTGCATCCTGCCACAGGGTTGGGGTAAGGGTCGTGCCAGGAGTCATTGCGGTAATACAGCTCCAGAGAATAGGAACTGGGGGGAAACACAGCGAGATGACACACACTTGTGGTAAGTGTTATAATAATAATAATAATAATAATACATTTTATGTGTATAACATTTTAAAAGGTGCTCAAAAGCACTTTGCATACTAAAAACAGAAACAATAAAATCAATAACAATACAAACGAGGCAGAGAGATGATATTATAACAGTAAGAAACAAAACAAAAATATTCATACTAGCATCACAGGATAAAAGCTGATTTAAATAGGTGAGTATTAATTGCAGTTTTGAAAGTGGCGAGTGACGGAGAATGTCTGAAGTGCTGGGGGAGAGAGTTCCAGAGGGAGGGGGCAGCGATAGAGAAGGCCCTGTCCCCCCAGGTCCGATGCTTGGACAGAGTAGGGGGGGTAAGGAGGTTGGCGTCGGTGGATCTGAGGGTGTGAGTGTGTCGGTGCAGGAGGTCCGAAAGGTATGAAGGGGCTTATGGTTGTGAGGGGCTTTGTATGTAATGAGGAGAATCTTTAACTATTCTTTGCTGTATGGGGAGCAGTGGAGGTTTTGAAGGACTGGGGTGATGTGATCTCTGTTGCGGGAGTGGGAAAGCAGATGGGCAGCTGAGTTTTGGATGCATTGTAGTTTGTTGATGATCTTGGTGGATGTGCCGTACAGGATGCCGTTGCAGTAGTCCAGTCGAGAGGTGATGAAGGCGTGGACGAGGAGGAGAGGGTTTGATCAAAAAGGATACTACGGTTACGAATATTTTGTTGAAGCAGGAACACTGGTGCCATCGATGCAGATGGAGAAGTTGTGGTGGAATTTGTTCAGTGGTTTGGGACCGACGATGAGGATTTTAGATTCGTCGCTGTTGATTTTGAGAAAGTTGGCTTGCATCGAGGTCTTTATATCTGTGAGGCAGTTGGTGATGGTGGTGGGGGTGATGGATTTGGTGGAGATGTAGAGCTGGGTGTCGTCAGCATAGCAGTGAAAATGAAGACCATGGTGGTGTATGATGTTACCAAGCATGTAGAGGATGAAGACGAGGGGACCGAGTACCAAACCTTGGGGGACACCTTGAGAGACTGGAGTTGAATGTATTGATGCTAATGAGCTGTTGGTGGTCGGAGAGGTATGATTGGAACCAGGAGAGGGCTGTGCCAGTGATATGGAGGGAGGACTCAAGAAGGGAGAGGAGGATGGTTTCAAAGGCTGCATTGAGGTCAAGTAGGAGGTTATGTAAATTATGTTTGTTTCATCTGCTAATTTGGCTATTGCAGTCCTGGATGGCTCCCATATTTCTATCAAATTGAAAAGCAAAAACAGTAATGTACCTAAATGGTTTGCTGCGGCTAAACAGTTGAATGCGATTGCTAAAAATATGGCTGGAACATCTGACCTAGATAGTGAAATTAAATATGCAAAGGGCAGGCAGGGCGTCATTACCCATCATACTCCTGGTAGAACTCAAAGAGTTGACAGGCAGCATAAGGAGGAAGAAGGCCGTTGTACACGTCCAGAGCCGCCTGGAGGGTGATGAGGGTAGAGTCATGCTGGAACGAGAAACATCAAGGGAGGGAGGCGATACATTATGTGAAACAACGGTTTGCACGATAGATTAGGAATGTGTGTTTGTGCCCAAACATTGAACTTACAGCTGAGTACATAATGAATTTGAGAGTGCTCCCTTGCTCTACAGCCCTGGAGAAATTCCTCAGAATGGCATTCAGCAGCACCCCTGGTGAATTAACATAAGTGTCAACAGTACAAATACATTTTCCCACCAACACACTCGTTTTGACCTTACGGAGCATCATGTCTTAGCACTGTGAACATCTTTGTCCCATTAGCTCATATGTGCTAATGTGCTTTTGGGGAGGCCCGGCCCAGCACTGTCTGAAGCATAAACAAAGCCTCTGCCAGCAGTCACATTAGATACACTGAGATTTGTTTTTTTACTCTGATAACATTGCTCTATGTGAATTGCCTCTAATGGGAATCCTCACCTCCCGAGAGCCTGGCCTTCTCTTTGCGCTTGTGACTGAGAATGCTGTACATGACCTCAAATGATGCAATTCTCTTCAGGGTGTCCAGAACATCTTGGGTGGCCCAGCGTGGGAGAGTCAAGTTATGAATCAGCTGCACAAGAAAATAACATTCACTACCATACATCACGCTAATAATCACATTACACAATACATGAATCCCAAACAAAAGGGTTTTAAATGGCCGTGTTTCATCGTTTCTATCATCCAAGGCTATTTTTAGAGCCGGTCTAAAGATAACAGATGCTCATTTTGCAAGTGTGAATGAGCGTATTCAGCCTAGAATCCACCCATCTCATAACGCTTTAATTATTATTTCAATATGTTGTCCTATTCATGTCTTACTGTATGTATAAAAATGATTTCCCCACGCTCCAGCCCCCTCTCCATCTCTCTGAAGTGTTGAAGAAAACCGATCCCTTCTCTTTCCCCTCTTTCTGTTTGACTCTCACTGCTGGTGTTTTGATGAGTAATTGAAGCATTTGTAAACTGCGGAACACAGAGAGTATAATTGTGTTTATGTGTGTGTCTATGTGTGAAACATCAAGGATACCTGACAGGTAAGAGTGTCGTAGACCCTCCATATTTTTTTGCCAACCAGTTTGGAGACGGGGTAGCCAGTGTGGTTGGAAAGTCCCTCCACAAAGTACTGCAATGTGCAGAAAAGGTGAGAACATTACATATAACCAGTGGTGGAAGAAATATTCAGATCCTTTACTCATGTAAAAGTATCAAAACAATTCATTACAAATACTTGATGACAAGCAGTCAAAATCACACATTATAACATTTTACTGTTGAAGTTGGCCCAAGATGGAGCTAGTTTTAACTGCTTTTTATACAGTTTGGTAGTTTAATCCAGTTGTTCCCAACCTGCGGGTCGGGGCCTTCAAAGGGTAACAACATTAATCCGCCGGTTACGATGGGGATCAATGATATTAGATTTTTGTTATGCATATTATGGACTTCAAGTTTTGCTTTTCTGTAAATGATATGACACATCTTTAAGTCATTGTAATCAAAACATGTGAGAAGTTTTAGACGGGAACATCTGAAATTTGACAAGGGGCTCAAATTAGACGATACTTCTTTGGAAGGGGTCATGAAGTCAAAAAGGCAGGAACCCACTCATCTTTAACACTACATTGTATTGTATACACTTATCATGTGATTTTTTGGTGTAAAATTGTCGTAGTAACCAGCTGTAAAATATAGAAAAAAAATCCTCATTTAAACTCAATTAATTTGGAAATGGCAATTATCCCTACGGATCGCCTCTGATCCAAAGAGCACATGCTGACCGAGATAGTGTACTAAAATGTACCCCCTGAAATGTTGTGGGGTTTAAGTGTAAAGTACCATAAAATGAAAATACTCAAGTATAAGTATCTTGAAATTGCACTAATGTACCACTAATCACAACCCTCAACTCATCATTGTCAGGGAAAATGTTTGAAGAAAAACGGTTAAATTACCATTTGTATGAGTGATGTTTTTGCAGATGCACTGTAAATAACTACAGAATTGCAGACGTTAGTTGGTTAATTGAATGGATTTGTATTCTTTATTGATTCAGTGTTGCTCACTTCAACCTTCGGTCAGACAACACATTGAAAAATGGCACCATTTTGGTTACTGCATCCAACTTGCAGGTAGTGTGCCTCCAGCAGAGGGTGTGAAAATTCAATGCAGGAGGCCCTGTGCTGATCTCAAACACCACCTTAATAGGCAGCACATGGGACTCTGTTTAATTAAACCCTTTCATTGTAATTCTTAATCTAATTCAATCCAAGCGTTAATTAGCGTCTCTGAGAATGTGAGAGAGATTGCACTGTGCAGCTTTTTCGAGGCACTGGAGTCACCGTGCCTGAGAAAATCACTGAGAGGACATGATGTCTGCAGCATAACTGTCACGTCCACTGGAGGTGCCGATAACGTTGGCACCCGCAACCGTGAACTATATATGTCACTTTCTTACACAAATGTGCATTTCACAGCGTTTGTTCATTTACAAATCAAGGCACGGATAAGCAGAAAAGAAGCATCTGAGGTGAGGTAAAGTATTATTCACAGCCGTTCTAATTCTATGATTCAGATGATTAAAAAAACAACAGACTAGCAAACAAGTTTTTAGTGGTTAACAGGCACATGAATCATGGAAAAGTGATGTTTACTACAAACCGAGCTGTGAGTAGAACGTTCACGTCATAGAACAGATACTGAGGATGAGTTACAGTACAGTGTATTTCGATGACTGTCTTCTTCTGTGGTTTGTCTTACCTGGTGAGCCCTGAGGAACCTCTGGTAGTGCTCGCTCTCAAAGGTCTCCGTCATCAGAGCTCTGAACCTTGGACAGTCTTTGCCTGGAGACTTTAACAGCTTGAGAAGTCGAAAACAACAGCACAACATCAGTTGAAATAATGCACATTCACTGCAGGTACTGCAGTCTTCTGGGCACAATTATATGTTCATTTCACACTTTAAAACAGTTGTATATTTCAGCAGGGCAGGTTCACAGCTGAGGCGAATGCAGACAGCAACACAGAGCGACAGAGAGCGACTCAGATTAAGTTATACAAGTTTCTATTTAGAGTGTGGCTGCCATGTGAAAGGAAGTATTGATGTGGCTCAGCAGCCCACCTTGTCCTGGGCCCTGGGGACAGTGTGCACTGGAATAGGCCTCCACAGTAACTGGGGCACGATGGGAGGCGGGCGTCTGGTTGGGGGGAACATCCCAGCGAGGCATGCCTGGGTACTCATCAGAGTGTGGTCGTAGTCAGTGCTCCTCACATAGAACTGTTGGAAACATGGAGGGAACATGTCATTAAAATGATTCGATATGTTGGTACTAGGCCTGACATTGATTCCAACCGTGTTCTTCTAAATGGGAAAATCCGGCTGACATTTTGTGGAATGTGAAAATGCACTTGGAAACGCATTCGGGAAGTGGAGCTGCACATACTTCTGTTTCTATATTTATTCAATAAAGATGCAAAAATAATTGTACCCAGCAAAGCAGCAGCGTATCACGAGTTAACTGTAAGTCAACTGAGGTATTCCCTTAACATGAGGAGGAGGGGAGTCAAAGGAGATGCAAAAGGGATGAGAGAAGGAGGGGGGAAAAAGATCCGTCCTACTGTGATCTCTTCTGACAACAGCCTTCGCACATCTATATCTCTCTGTCACCCCGTGTCAGGTTTTTGCTCACGCTGATAAGGTTGGATGTTCCTGTGATGCCAAGAATGCTTCTTTTTTTTGTATCCCCTTTTTGTCAAATTAAAACAGACATGGCAGCGCGGGGAAAGGTACAGTGCAAGTTGACGGAGACTTGGGCGACAAATCGCCAATGACAGGTACTGAGAAGAGCTGTTCTTTTTGTGATAATTGCGTGTTATTTAAGAGATGGAGAAGAGAGGACTGAACGCAAGGATGGGGGGGATAAGAGACAGAAAAACAGAAGACAGCGAGTGTAAAGAAAACAGAGACAGAAATGTAATCTTAATAATGACAGTATGCTGAACATGCAGCCCAACATGCGTGTTGCCAACTGTCGTGTACATGGTGGCCCACGTGTTACAGCACATAAAGGCCATGGCAGTGATATCACCAACATGAGTCATGCTCATTAGCTTAGTGTGTGTTGTAAGAGCTGGTACAGGGGGTGGCTTGCACATGATTTCAGATGTTGGGCCGAGGGCACGCGCAACAACAGCGTTAGGTGACACTGAAGCACACAGGCTCAGGGTACGTCAGAAAAAACTGAATTACACACACACATACACATACATGTCTCCATACACAAATACACCTCTTTGTTGTTGTAGTCCTCACTGAGAAAGTTGCCATAACGCCTCCTTAGAAACCTGCCCAGCTCAAACTGTTGTTTCATGCCCAGCTGAAAGGAAAATTGCCAGCAATGTTAATCTTTGTCGAATCTGACCTTTCGCTACAGATTTGGCTGATTTAAGATCAAATTCAACTTATTTACATAAATTAACACATTTCACCCATTATACAGGGCCTCCAGGCCAGAACAAAGTCACAGTAGGAAGGACTTTAATTATAAGTCTGCAACAAGCATTTCTTTCATTTTTAAGACTTGACTGATTTTGTGTCGTACAGATCATAAGTGAAACATACTGTGACACCAAAGCTAATGTGTGCCTTTGGTGTATTTACTCTGTAAGTGACTTTCTTGTCAAATTATGTATGAAGAGTCATTTGCATTTTGAACTATGGACTTGTATAGTTAGTGTGTCACTGGCTCCAGTATAGTGGCCCTGAGGTGCAAAACACAAAACTATTAAAAAAATTATAGTAATATTTTTAAATAGTTTTTGGTTTTATTGTTATGTTTTTGGTTTTGCTGCTGTGTTTCTGTAAGTAAGCCTGAAAATGTGATGGATTGGTGGATTTTATACACTATATACATCTAAAAGCTCTTCATATTTGGTTGTTTGTTGGCCAAATCCTGCTTGACAAAATGTTAACGGTGACACACACACACACACACACACACACACACACAGAGTAACACCCAGTACCTCAGTCAGCTGTCCGAAGCCTTGACCCCACACTTTCTCCCCATGAGGATCACTGGGATACGACTCAATAGGCGATCGATCGCCGTGTCGGAACACCTTAAAAGTCATAACAGATAATGTCACATGGATTCAGACGCCACGCTGCTGTGCCAGCCATTTCACTGTGTACTTAAGGAAAAAATCAACCCTGAGACAGAAGTCAGGAATAGAAACCTGTGATCTTGGACAGTTCAGCCTGGATTTGAGACACAGAAGAGTCATTTTGATGACACAAATGCTGGAGCTGCTCCGTTCATTGTATCATTAACCTGAAGACTCACTTTCTGGGCAGCGACATGACACACATGTTGATTAAACTGGATTATGGATACATCTGAGTCACTCTTGGTGGCACCACTGTGACGTGAACAGCACTAACAATTTGGATGTAAAAACCACAAAGTCAAGTCAGCAAAGCTGTGGTTTGCTTTTAGAGATAAATGTTATGTTCAACGACTCTTTGTCGTTTTGATGGAAAACACCTTCCTAAGAATGGACATGAATTGAGCTAACCTAAACTAAACTTGACACAAATTAAAATGATAATTTTAATAATAATAATATAGACCATTAAAACACATTTAAACAAAAAAATATTTAAAAAATTACACATTTACATAAAAAAATGTAAATGACAAAGATAATAAACAGATTAATGAGACAATTAACAATACAATTTAACAACTACACCGCATGTAGTGAACCTAATCCTTACTTTGGCTTTAGTAACTAAATAATAAATAGTAACTGTCAAGCTCCAGTATGTCTGTTGTGTGTGTGTGTGTGTGTGTGTGTGTGTGTGTGTGTGTGTGTGTGTGTGTGTGTGTATATGAATGACAAACACACTGGTATAATATGGTCATCATAGGAAAAACATTTGTGATTTTCACCAACGCAGCAGTGTCTGGGTGAGATACGCCTCACGCTGTTGAGTTTAGGCTAAAAATAATCCTTCGTCAAAGAAATGTGTAAATATAATAATGTTTCACTGAGCAGAAAATACAGTGTAATCAGAGACAAAGTGCAGTCGTATGTGATCTAGGAAAAGAAAATGTGTGGCTTGATGATGTCAAAATGTTGTAAGACAGCTTAATGTGAAATGTCATCGTTGTTAATCATGCACACAGAGAGGGAATAAAACTGGACACACTTACAGCTACGACAAACTTCAGCATCCGGCACTCAGTCGAGCAGACGCAACAGAGGAGGAGTAAACAGCCCAAACTTTTCTGGAACTTCCACATCTTTTTCACTGGTCGATCTCTACCTCCTTCCCAGAGTTCCCCTGCTTACAGGAGTGAGAAAAAAACGTCTTGAAAGTTTCAGTGTAAAAGTTACAAGTTACATGTTAGTCAGGCAATTGTTGTGTAAAATGTGTGTTTTTAGACCAGTCATATAACATATAAAATATGTATGTTTGCTCCTCTTTTTCCCACATGCTACAACGCTGTAGTAGTATTTATGTCAACTCAATTTGAACAGTCTTTAAGATGGATGGACAGCAGAGTTCATGTACAACAAAATGCCTTGTCAAAAGAGATTTAACCGATCATATAAATGAACACACGCACTTACCTCAGCACTGTTGTTCACACATTTTGCTGTTTCAATCAAACAAGTTACAGACAGAGGAGGACTGCTGTGCATCCCAAATCTCCAGTCATACCCGGATTGACATTAAGTGCATGTTCCAGTAAAAGAAGGAGTGCATTTATAGCCCTCCTACCTGACCTCGTCTCTCCTTCTCTCTCTCTCTCTCTCTCCCCAAGGATTTCTGATCCCAATCTACTTCATCGTCGACTGAAGTCCAAATCACTGTCTCTGCCAATTCCCCGCTGACAACCCCCCCTCGGCAGACATATTTGAGTCGTCTTTTGAACTTAAGGATACATATTTGGCTCTTCAATGTGGATAACTCCACTTTTAAAGCCCCGTATTCTTAAGGACACTTTGGCTTTAGAGTAACAATATGACAAAGAAATGGGTTAAGTTAAGACGTGCCCACCTGGCTTCTTAAATTGTACTTCTGGAGCATAAGCACACACATACACACTTCCACACTGGCCCTGGGCCACAAACACTCATTATAACTTGCTATGTCATCCGCCGTGGGTTTGGCCCCAAAATTACAGGGCCTGGAGTGTTTTCCCTGACTCGACACACATGTAAGTATCTGTTAGTATCAAAGCAGCTTTATGGGATACAATGGGATTAGTGAGTGTGAAGATTTAGAGCTATAGAGCGTAGACATCTTATTTGATAAGTGTAAGATAGGATCTATTGTACTAAGTGATACACAGTGCAATATTCACAGGGGTAACATGGATGTTTGAAGCATTAAATTAAGACTAAAATGACATTGATTTGAAGTAAAAGAGCACACATGGTCTCACACATGCAAGTATTCACTTTTACTAAAGTTAAAGTAACAATACCAGAATATAAATCCAAATTGTATAATTACAATTACAGTTTTTCTTATTGTCAACAAATCCCCTTTTGCCAGATATAGCTTATTCGTCTGTGCCGTCGTCATCCAAAAGCTATTAATTGCACATGATTAAACCAAACCACTGGACTGCGTGATGTGTTTCTTTATCACAACAAACATGAGCATTGTACTTGTTTTGAGTCATTACCACACACGTATCCTCTTGTGTTTGGTTAATGTCTGGTAAAAACTACAATGCCCAGCTGTTTTAGGAAATCATTCAGCCTTTTAAAAAAATACCCCTTTTTAATTAAAGATTTACATCTTTTTTTGGAATTTGTTTACAATAACAAAAATAAAGAACATCACTATAGTGTACAGTATGAATAAATGTAGCCTATTAAAGTAGCATAGAGTGTAAATAATCATGTAAAGTACAAGTACGTCAAAGTAAAGTACTTTGGGAGATCTTAACTTTCCACCACAGTGCAGATCTCTCTCGGCCCATCTGTTTGCATAGTAATGCTCTCACTGTCTATAGCACACACACACACATGCACACACACACACACACAACACACACGTGTGATACTGTAGCTGGTACAGTTGGCTTTATAAAACCATGCGCGTGTACAAATGGGTCAGTGAGTCCACCTACACTGATCTCCAGAACAAAAACTCAAGGGTCTGAGTGGCGGACAAGAAAGGAGTATGAGGCCAAGATACACACATAGACACACACACACACACACACACCATCATACTGTATGCACATTTGTGCTACAGTTGATACCCACCAGTTCATTGAAGGCTCTTTGCATCTCTTTCCCTCTTTTTTTCAGTGAGACAAACATAAAACACAAACACACACACACACACATCCCATCCTTTTTTTCTCCCTCTCCCCCAAGTGACTGTAGTGTTTTTTTTTTTGTCTTTGTTGAAATAATTGCAGTGATTTTCAAGACTGTTGTCATGGCAACACAGAGGTTGATGCATGTTGACAGAGTCTGTTGCAAGGCGACCGAGAGACTGAAAAAGGGAGATAAGAGGTGGGAGGAGAAGTGATGCTTGTGTAAGTGTGCGCTCATGTATGTGTGTGTGTGGGGGGTCCATGTACTACAATCCACATGATGAATGAAGATGAGCAGTACGGGACGTCTTAGACCGATAGAAGGAGGCCTGAGACTCAGGAATGAACAGTTACTAGTGTATTGTGAGCGGAGGAGAGGGCGAGCGAGAGAGGGAGAGAGGGAGGAAACCAGGGGTGCTATTTCAGTCCGGGCGTTGTCATGGAAACTGCAGCCTCACTACAAATGGAGACATCCAGAACACATGGATCGTCAAACAAATGGCGTGCGTAGGGCCCAGCGTGAAGCTACGCCAAGGCTGTGCGACACCGTGCCATCGCAGTCAGACCCACCCCCACCCCTCCAGTCGGATAGCAGCGGCGTCTTCTCCATCACAGAGACTGAATATCAATGGGAGGGTAGCTTTTAGGGAGTGAGCGGTGGAGGAGGGGGACAAATGCTCAGAGTCAGGGGCTAAGTGACAGGCAATGGTGTCCATTCAGGCAGTGAGTCGCAGCCACTCGCCCTCCGTCTTTTAATTAACAGTCTTTTCCACACTTCCTTCCCTTCCCTCCTCTCCTCTTGTCTCTTATTCTGTCTACCCCTTCCCTCTCTATCTGTCTCCCATCCTCTCCCCTTCTCTCTCTCTCCCCTGCGCTCTGAAGGACGGAGGTATTCCCACATTTCTCCGTTGCTATAGCAACACCGCATCGAGAACAGGAAAGAGAGGACGCAGGGAGGGAGGAGACGGAGGAGGAGGAGGAGGAAGGGAGGATGGAGACATGGTGGTGGTAGGGAGTGAGGGGGAGGGGTGTGGAAGCGGCCTAAGATGAGGGGATGTGTGAACAATGCTAATGCTAATGTTAGCAGCAGCGGCAGAGCAGCCAAAATGTTGGCGAATTCCGGTCTCGTCGCATCATCGCTGGGCACAGACTCACATGTCACTTCCACATTTGCATAATTGCCAGTGGGAATCTATTTGCTCTTTATGTTTCTATGATCGTTGACGTCTTCCACAAAGTAATACTGTCTCCGCTTAGACATTTGACTCTTGTTGTTTTTCTCTGTGACATTGACCAACTCTGCCGAGCTTGAATCCAATTTCTTGAGCATCATTTAGGAATAAAAGCAAAAAGATGGGTGTAAATCTAAATATAAGGCAGTTTGGAACTGAGCTGCTTCTTTTCCAATATTTCAATCGGCTCAAATCAATGCAGGTCAAATAAGTACAGCAGCCATGGAAAGACCAGAGCTATTTCATATCGATGTCATCATCCCATTCACTCAGGACGCAACGCAATCTCATTATCTCCACGTATGTATCGTAAGGCCTTAGAACAAAGCAGTGTTGCATCAATATCCCAACATGTTAAGATATGTAGCGAGCAGCAAAGCTCATGTGGCCTCGAGAGGAGACAAACGGCCACATTCTCTTCCTCTTCCCTCAGTACACGTGTTTGTCTGGCTTGACATGTTGTAGAAAACTCAGTAGATACATCAGTACTGACTGAAATTAATATTCCTTCATACATGCCACATACACGTATGAATACTTAAGCTTCTCGGTACCTAGAGTAATCTCCTGCATGTCAACTGTCTCGCTGTCCTCTCCTCTCAATCAATAACTCATCTCTTGACGTCAATATTGTTTTCCCCATGGGACGAAAATGTCCTTCTTTAGGACAAAAGGAGGATAAGCAAGATGGGAGGAAGGGGATGTGAGAAATAGAAAGATGAGTTTGTTCTGTCTTCATATGGCATCGTTTTATCCATGCAAGGAATCTCCACGCCTTTCATTGAAATACCCGCTGATGTCCTCCTGGGTAGAGCAAAGCCAAAACACTGTTGACAGACAGCGTGACAGGGCCGTTTTTGAGACGTTGCTTCACATACTATATTGTGAAGCCATATCTTCCCACTTGTAAAGCAAAATATGAGTAAAAAAAATAACAACAGGAAATCCACCATTTTGCTTTCAGTTATTGCCAATCATTCTCCTCTGAATTCAGCTCTCATCTAATCTTTTACTTGATTAAACAGTCGGTCAATACCACATATAAAAACTCATTTTAATGCCAAAAAACACACTTCAAAAAAGACTGAAGCATTTCGCAGATTTTGTTTGATGAGGAGATTGATACTGCACTGATATCGTCTCTGTAGTTAAGTACGTATGTAGCCAGCAGCTGGTTGGCTTAGCGCAACGTAAAAACTGGAAAGAGGGGGAAACAGCTGTCTGAAGTTAAGAAAATACACCTACGAGCTCCTCTAAAGCTCAGCAATCAACACATTATATCTCATTTGTTTAATCCGTACTGTACAAAAGCTGAAATGTAAAAATAACAGGAAGGGGTTATGTGTCGGACTATTTATTGGACAGAACCAGTAACTTATTGGAGTCTTGTCGTCACTGTAAGGTTGCAACCAGCGGAGACTCCACATGTTGTTGTTTATTTTATTGTGCATTTGTACAGATTAACCAAAGGAGATTATGATGTTAATTAGTAGCGCTGGTAGGCAGATTTCTTAGCCTTTGCACAAAGCCAGGCTAGCTGTTTCCAGTCTTTATGCTAAGCTAAGATGACCTGCTGCTGGCTTCACATTTATTCTACAGAGTGGGTTCAATCATCTCATCTAACTCTCAGCAAGAATGCAAATGACTATATTTCCCAAAATGACAATTCACGAGTGCCAGAGCTGACTATGTGAATATTGCTGAAGCATCAACGGGGTAAGTAAAAGTCACGATACAATTCAGAGTGCCATAAAATGAAGACACCATTACCACACACACAACATTAACCAAGCAGAGTATAACCATTACCCCTATCTGCAGTTATGGTAAATCAATACTCAAGTAAGTAACAACATCAGCGCAGTGCCTGAAAATTGTGTGTGTGTGTGTGTGTGTGGGAGTGCATGCACTGGGGAACAATTTGCAACCTACAGTACGTCCCTCCAGCAATTACAAGGCAAGTGTCTGTTCATAATAAATGTTGGAAAAATAAATATTCATAGGAAAGTAATTCAATCTCACAGTCTACAGTGAAACAAGCATTATCGGTGAGATATTAATACACAAACTGTTTTCTTTTTTGTCATTTCTGGTAACATCTAATATGATTAGATTGCATTATGAAGTAGCTCATTACGCTCTGTGTTTTTTTTAAACATTATTTTAGCATCAAGAGGGATATTTTTGTCTCTGACCCATTGCAGCAAATTAGAGTCTGTGGAATAGTAGGACTAATTTAATTTGTAAGGGTGAACATGTAAGTTATGTAATAATACACATTACCAAATAAAACTGATACACTTGAGGATGAGGAAAAATCCATCCAAGTCCAGACATGCCACCATATACAACAGCAGCTGTGTTTCACACACACCTGAGCAGCATTTAGTGGGAAGAGAAACAAACAGCTCTTTTCCGGGTGACATGCCTTGTTGGTCAGGTTGAGTGATTTATGAAGAACTGTCTGGGGTTACAAGGGCTCCTGAGTGCTTTCCAAGTACACTAGATACACATAGCCTCCCTAAAGTATGTTAGTGTATCCTCTCTCTTTGGATTATTAATTGAGATATTTGGGTGAGGAAGGAAACAATATTCCTAAATCCAAATGATCTGCTGCATGGCTCTTAGTGATATTGGGAGAAGAGAAGGAATCTAAATATAGACTGAAACAAAAGCAAAGTATGTTCAGTACAGAATGAAAAAAGCCCTCTGAGAATTCAGCAGCAAGCTCATAATTCACCAACATAGTTTCATGTAATAACAGTCAAAGGATGAATCAGAAGCCTTTAAATCAAAAGGCTTCTGGTTTCCTTTTATCAATTTACACAAAGTAGGTCCAACTGGGTCACTGTCATCTTTTCCTCACACTTTCCATAATACTTTGGATTCTCAGTCTGAGCTAAGCCTGCTAACGGTTCTGCGTAGTCCATCCTCATATAAACAATGCCTAAATAGGCCACAGAATCTATACTTGGTTTTTTTTGTGCAATGACTGCAGCCCACACGGCCGCGTCGAACACACTACGCTCATGTTAAACACATGTTGTTGTTTTTTGCTGCAGCAGAAGTGTGAAGGAATAAAAAGCTGTCACATTTTCATGGCTCCTCGATCAGCGGAGATGCAGCCCACAGACTGACACCTTTGCTTCACGGTGGAGTTTATGTTGTGTCAGGTTCCCCACAGACTCTGCAATCTGTCTGTGGGCCAGGGGAGCTGGGGAATCCCTGGAGGAACACACAGCTGGGAGGTTATTGAATTTGAAGGGAAAAGACAGCATAGGGAAAAGGAGAGGCTAGTGCGAGAGCACAGTAGATTTTAAAAAATAAATAAAAAATGACTGCACCATAGGCTTGCAAAAGGAGACGTCAATGCACTGCTGCATTTTCCAAACAGAAATCAGGTTTTGCTCTTTTAAACACACTACGTAGTTTGGAATTACAAGGTGGAGTTATATTGTTGTTTCATGCTGCAACGGCTAATTTAATTAAATTCCACCTTTTTTTTTTTTTTATTAGAAATGACCCTTCTCCATCACATTACATTCATGTCTAGATCACAGAATGCTCTAAATGTATTTGCATTTGAGCATTTCTCTTTCATCTTTAGTGCATATTAATGCATTTTTTTTTCTGCTGCACACACACTCTGTGCTCACTTCACACCCCCCCACTTCATATCACCCCTTTCAGACATAGCATATTTTGTATGTTTGTATGTATAAGCTGAGGATCAGCAAAAAGCTGCAAAACACAGATAGTGCAGAACATGTAATATCTGTGTGTTACAGGTCATTTTGTTTATTACAATCCTTGCGTTAACGTCTTCAGAAAACACTACGATGTAATCATTATATACTCTAGCTGTCTTTTCCATTGCTATTTCAGCATACAGGCCTTTATTTCCAAGAAGTCTCATGGGGACTGAGGTCTTTGGGGACCGGAGTACAAGCCAAGTACAATTACATTCAAGAAAATAACTTTACATAGTGCCCCCTAAGACATTTCAAATTCAATTCCCTGTGCTGTAAGGCCCACACATTTTCTCTAAACATATCATTCAAATTCACTGTCACGGTTCATGGCTGATGCATTTGTTGTTACATGAATCCCTTGAGGTTGCTGTTTCGTAACGAGGGTTGCGCTTGCACTGCGCAGGGGACATCTGTGATAGTCTATAGAGTTCCACCTCACCTCGGGGTTCTAAATAAGTTAAAAAATGTCAACTCTGGAACATGCAGATGAACAGAATACCACACAGTGAAGCAAGATAAGAACTAGTGATAATGATGTTATTGAAGGCCTGCACATAAAAGCATAAAAATGAGTTAGTGTATTTGATCTGGAGATGTCAGGAACAAAACCCCGAATGGACTGAGTTGATTTTACATTTGCAGTGCGAAGGAAATGTTTAACTATTCACGAAAGGATCTGATTTGTTGCCTTTTATTTGTTGGATTTGAAAATGCCCAACATATGCAAATAATCAAAAATGGCAATGCGGGTTTATGTACAATTACACTAATGTAACATGATGGACCACTTGATTTATTAAGGCGGTTGTCATGCTGCAGTGATTGCAGGAGGTTATACTTCTACACCCGCTGCTATAACTCAATTTGTTATTTGGATTTCAATCAGTAAGATCAGTTTGTGTTTGTTCATTTTTCGTGATAACAGTTTACAGTTCAAGAAATGTATTTGCGCCATCGGAAAACGGTTGACTCTTTGACAGTTTGTTAGCTGCTGGCACTGTTTTAAATTCCCTCGCTACATTTGCTGTAATGCCGTAACATTTGCACGGGCCTTTTATAAAACAAGCTACCAGCTATCACAATATAAGTGTGGACGTAGCAGCAATACAAGGGGCCATTGCGTCCAACTATGACCTTATTTTGAACGTGTGTCCTGTTTCCTGATTTGATAAATAAGTGCGAGAAGACAAAAAAAATTAAGTAACAAAATACAGTGTAAACAGAGTAAATGTTAGGACTTTGTTCATTTTGTTTTATAAAATTTCACGCAATAACTTATTTGAAACATCATCATGTTAAACTTCTGATTTAGTTAGTTGTGGTGCTCTGTTGGTTAAAATCACAACAAAGAATGAAAGTGACATATGTTTCTAATAGCAGAATAACTCCTGACTGAAGTCACAGAAGTAGCAAACAATGAAATAATATACCTCTCAGTCATTGTATGACAGTCATTGAAGTGCAAGTGCAGCACATGTTGATTTTGCTATAATTGAAGAAATACACTCTTCTGCCACACTGTACCTGGATGAAGGCATGAAAAAAATGACATTTAATGACAATACATAAAGACCCAAATTGATAATATCACATACCGAGATACAACCAACAACTGGAAAATAAAATAGGAAACAAAACTACACAAAATTACTTTTTTCATAATTATTTTGTATGAAACAAATCTAATTTCTTCTAGAGCTTAACACTGTTCTCTCGCTCTCTTTTTAAAAAGCTTTCAAAACAGACCCAGGTCATTTGTTTACATTGTTTTATCAAACAGAACAGCTTACCTTTAAAAGACCAACAGTTCATTCCATTTTCTTGTCTTGCAATTTGGTGTCTCAGATTTGATAATCCTTTTCATTTAGGAGCTTTGCTTCCAACAAAACAAGAAATGTCATCTGGGCTGAAGCATCCATTATAAGCAACGGATGGTGCAGAGGATACACATATGCCAGTACTCCATCTGTAGCCAAACTGCATCGATTCAACACCATATACTATATAAAACAGTGAGGTACAGTTGCCCAATATGCACATATTCAGATTCTAGTCTCAAGCTTGTGATCTTCATTAAAAGGGGTCACACTGCTGCAGAATGAGCCTCCTTTTAAATCGCATCAATGTGTACAATGGCAGCCACTATACTAAGATGTAACAAAAAGCTTCTGCATTTCCTCAAAATGTTAATAATAATGATGATAATTGTGTTACATGTTGCATGTAACGGATGTCCAGAGGTATGAAAGGAACATTTCTGTGCCCATTAGGTGAGTCACCATCGTAATAAAACACTGCCAAAGCGGCGTTCAGGTAAAAAGACTTGTTCCACAGTTAACATGCAGCAATGCACCCTCACACGCAGAACACAAGGAGATATCTAGTATGCTCTTTCAAATCTGACGGCAGAGCCACCAAATGTAGCACATCAAGGGAGCGGCCCATATGTTGTGTCTTTAGCCTTCATTTATATTCCATTTGTGTCTCTGTGGGGCTACAGTTGAACCCTGCCCACTAGATCTGTTTGCGGGGTTGCAACACATTTACATTTACGATGCTTCTCGATGAGATTCACGACAAAAAAACACCAAGTTGAGAAAACTGTAATTTAGACATACTGAGTTGTTTGATCAATGAGTTTACATGTGGTATCGCAAGTATAACCAGGCATATTATCATAGATCATTAAACAGGATGAACGGGGTGTGCATTGATGCAGAAGATGTTCCTTTCCATAGAACATGAAATCATTTCAATTAACCTCTGTGACAGTGCATTCTGGGTGGGTTTTGTCTGATACCATCACTCATATTATCATCACTATTATTACTATTCCATAGTGTCCTCTTCGTCGAATAAGTGTGGGCTTGTTGTTGATAAGAAAAAACATCATCAATCACATAAAACAGCTCCTATATATAAGCAATGCAGTTGTAATGGAGGGTTGCAACAGAAAAAACCCAGCAAAATCCCGTACAGAGCCGCATTACAGTCGAAAACCTTGTTGATATGACTTTGTTGATAATACTATCTCAGGTACATTATCTGGAATAACTGGTCCAGTTTGTGCTCAATTGCAACAAACATTTTAGGTTCCTGCTTGATAATTATAAAAAAAAAGAGATAATTTATTTATTATACTTCTTTTCTCAATTCTTCTACCGATTTCCAGACTAGCACAAAAGAACCACCATAGGAGAAGCATACTGGGGTCTAATGTCAGACAAAAGCACCTTCATTAAGAATAACTTATCATCTAGTTCTGTTAAAAACACTCATTTTGCAAAACCAGTCGTGTCTGTGGAACATCTAAAAGCCTCTCTGAACATGTTAATAAAGCAGCACCTATCATTACCAGGATGACTAATGGCTAAACCACAAACCATACATTCAATCCAGGTTTAGCACAGAGGCCTGCATAATGTCTCACTCTTTACTAATGTGGTTGCCATATTGACCCGCCACAACCCAATATATGATTGATTTATTTCACACGTAATGATACATGGCTAGACAACTGTACACATTATATCAAACTAACAAAAATAAAGAAATACATAGTTGAAACGCAAGAAGCGTAAATGGCATTTAACATATGAAAGTTACACTGTAAAAATGTGGATCTTACAATTGTCATACAACCAGACATTATTATTATTAATATACTGTACATTTCCATTCATTCCAATCATCCTAAGATGGATGTTTAATCCCTTCTTGAATGATGCTGCAGAAAGATGTCTAATCATCCTTGTGACAGCATTTTATGGCATGATTATGGTAACCATGAGCAAGGAGGTCATATCAAATTCCTCTCTAAAAGCAAATATCTGGCTACTGATCTGATTCAAATAACACATTGTCAACACTTTATTTTACCCATACAGGTCTTTGCAATGGGTTAGCTTTCCGTGTTTGTGGAACATCGTTTCAACAATTATTTGATGCTGGCATTTAAGTATCAGAATTGTCAATTCAAATACCAAGTAGCTGGCTTTTACAAAATACATAATACACTCTCAGAACACAAAAGTTTGTAATGATTATTACTGAAGCAACAGAAAAAAGTTTGTCAAACAGAGATCTGCATTTACTGTTCTACAACCTAAATGGACTTTATGTCACAAAGCCAATTCAAAGATTCACAATGAGTGTTGCAATTGAGCCCTTATGTTTCTGAGAAGTAGCCAAACTTAAAACATGTATCAATACCAACCTCCACTATCACCGCCCCTGATTATCCACAAAGAAACAAACTACATCCACCCCAAAATATCTCTGCATCGGAGTCTGCAATGATACATATTTAAATGAAAATATATTTATATAATTTGTGGATTTTTCACAGTAGTTTGTACTGCACTGTACCTTTTTGTCCATCTATTTATGCCTACATAATTGTCACCTTGAGGGAGTCTATTGAGTCACTTGAGAGAGAGTGTGGCTTGTGTTTTGTGTGGAAGAAAAATGTCTCTTGGATTTTGTTCTGTAATATCTCCGATCTTCAGTGTGGTAAGTGCTGTGCATGTCTTTCATCTCTGCTGGCCAACAACGATTTGGGGACTGATTACTCCTAAAGGCTAGTTTTTCCCTATGAGAACACAGCTTGTAGAAACTGCAAAAAACATTTGCTTTGGCACAGATTTACATTGTAGCAATGTCCATTCCTTGATCTCCATGGCCATGATCGTTACTACAAACACAAGTGGCCCATTGTGGTAATCCTTGGCTCAGTACACTGTCACGGATAAGTCTGTGTTTGTGTATTGCCGTGTCAGTCTATCCTCTCTCCTGGTGTAATGTCAATGCACTCTAGTGTCTAATCATTCCGCGCATAAACCCAACATCAATCCCCTCTCTGTCTCCAACTTTTGCTCACTCTCTCTCTCTATACTCTCGCTTTTGTTTTTAGATCTGAGTCTCTTGGACGTTTTCCTTCGAGTTCCCCTTGAAGAGAAGTGGCTCCATTTGGGGATTCTGGTGTTGGCCCATGAAACCCTTGATCGATCCATGTAAGCCCATGGTAGGCATGGGGAGAGACATCGGCAGCGGTGGGGACATAGAACAGGGGTGGATGTTGGTGCCATTGCCGGATGAGGAGAGCATATTAGACGTAGAGATTGGGACTGACGTACAGGAGATGGGGATATCCTGGAGTTGCTGGTTCTTGCTATTGAGCATCATCCCTGGTCCCATCCCGTCGGAGCCGAGACTAAGACCCATCACGTTGTTGTTGAAATGATGGGTCTTGTAGTAATGGTTGAGAGTATCTGAGCGACCAATATTGGGGAGGTTGACTATTTCTGGATGATGTCTCCTTAGGGTTCCTTCTCCACTGCCAGAATTCATTGTTGAGCCGCCTGAGATGCCACTCCCGGCCCCGGCTCCAATCTCATCTTCTACGTTGACAATCTCGATGGCTCTGGCAGGGCCGTGGTGCTTGTGTAGCTGGTGCTGCTTACGCAATTTATAGAATACGACCAACATTACAGCTGCCATAAAGGTAATGGCCACGAAGCAACCTATGATGATCTTAGTTGTTTTCATTACATCATCTAGGCCTGGAATGTTAGTTACATCCATTATGGACACAGTCACTGCATTTTCAGTGGCTCTGTTGGCTCGTGGGGAGAGTGAGGAAAGAGAGGAGAGAGAAGGCGATATAGTGATACCAGGTCGGCCCTCTAACACTCCTCTTTGGCCAGTAGGATTAAGAAAATCTATGAACGTCTCGTTAATATACTGTCTTGCTGAGTTTTCCTCGTCTCCTCTCACTGTCTCCACTGTTTCCACAGTGACAGTGGTGAAATAGCTGTAGCTGTTGCTGGGGTCTGAAGCAGACACATTGAGCACGGCGGTCGCAGTGGTGTTTCCCGCGGAGTTGGTTACCATGCAAGTGTACTGCCCTGTGTCTTGCACGGTCACGTTTGTGAAGTTCAGTGTTCCGTCATGAAGCACTGAGATCCTTACTCGGTATGATCCGTGGGTCATCAGAGTGCCATTCGGAGTGAACCAATTCACAGAGGTCATCGAGGTTCCAGTACGACATTTCAGCTCAGCAGCCATGCCCTCAGTGACATTGAGGTCAGTGGGTGGCTCAACAATCACTGGGGCATAGCAGGTGAAGTGGCTCTGGTCTAGTTCCCCAATGTATTTGCCTTTTATACCTGGGGGCGCGTGGCATCGAGCACAACATGTGGTGTTGCTGGGAACTGTTTCTTTCAGCCACCAGCTGAGCCACAGAACATCACAGTTGCAGACCCAAGGGTTGTGGTTTAGATGTACCCTCTCCAACTGGTGCAAAGGGGTGAAGAGGTCATGGGGCAGGGAATGCAGGGAGTTGTGGGAGAGGTTGAGCTCCTCCAAGTTTTTGAGGTCATCAAAAGCATTTCGTTCAATGACTGACACTCTGGAGTGCATTAGCCACAGCTTGCGAAGCGACACTAGGCCCTGGAAGGATCCAGGCCTGACTATCCCCAGCTGGTTCCCTGACAGCTCCAACTCCTCTAGTCGTACTAGTGGGGTGAGGTTAGGGATGTCCTTCAAGCCGCACATGCCAAGATTCAAGAAGCGTAAGTTGACCAGACCTTCGAAGGCCGCCTCTGAGATGAAATCCAGCTTCCTGAGTTCCCCTAAATCGAGACGGCGTAATGAGGGAACACGGTGAAAGGCAAATGCCGGCAGTGTCTCGATGGGGTTGTTTCGTAGCCATAGTTCCCTTAGCTTGCTGAGGTACTCAAAGGCTTGTGACGGTACCACTGTGAGACGGTTGTCAAAAAGCTCAAGCGTGTTGAGGTTGGGAAGGCCATTGAAAGCTCCCACCTCAATCTGCCGGATGTGGTTCTTGGAGAGCTGGAGGATTTCCAAATGCCGCAGGTGTTTAAATGTGTCAGACTTGATCACCTGGTGTGGAAACAAAAACACGGAGGCATGTTGTAGCAACATCAAAATTACTGCTGTCAACATATATCAATTCAGTCTGAATGCATTGTCGGCTTGAAGACAAAGTCATATTTACCTGGATTGTGTTCTCTTGTAGATTGAGGTATCTTGTGTTCTCTGAAATACTGTCTGGGACTTGATCTAAACTCTTCCTTGTACAGATGACACGGCTCGCCTGATTGGAGCAGGTACAAAGGCTGGGGCACGCGGGTGCTGCCTCTGTCAGCTGTGGTCCATGGTTGTGAAACCACAACAAAAGCTGGACCAACCAGAGGAGGGGGGAAGGGGTACAGGGGCTGGTCACCATGACAGCACGCATGGCAACTGAGTCATGACCCACCCCTATTGCTATGAAGTTGATAAGTCACCTCCAAACAGGGGGATTTAAGTGCTTATCGTGATATTCATATTTTATGCTTGTATTCTGTTTTTGTCTTTCAAGCAGTCAGTTTAAAAATGGAGAGGGGAAAGCGTAATGTTATATTAAACACTCTATCATTAATAGATTCTTATTTTACTCTGCTCATGCTTTTTTGACAATCAAACTCCTTGTTCTTTTCAACAACTCATTTTAGGGAACTCTGTATCATTTGTTCCCATGACAATTATTAGAATAGAAATCCAATTTGGGGGAGGGTTTGCTCTTGGATGTGTTGTCTCTGTGGATGCTGTTGCTTCTCACTGTAGGGGGGGAGAGAGAAAAGGAGAGAGAGGAATAAGGTCAAGTAAGTGCACAGTGCAGTAGCTTTCAGATATTAGCCTAACACATACATGCATGTATTCCCAGAACTGAATTTAAATCTCAACATGTTACAATGCCCGATATCACCAGTGTGTGACGAGCTGGGTCAGGCTTGTTTTTCTAAAGAGGTGCCTCTCAAATTGTGGCCTGTAGACTAACTGGTGAGTCAGCTGCCATTTTCTTCATAGGTTGAACTTAACATCTGGGTCATGGTCTGAAATGGCCACACATTTCTTAAACACCAAGCTGGGTCGCAAGTGCTGCAGCAGACCCATTAGGATGTCAGTCTCACTGTCCACTTTATGATACTGCTATGCTTCTAGTCAGACACATACAAATCGACTCTCACGTTTAAAATTAGGCCAAGATGTTGAATGCAATTACAACTGCTGTTGAGATTTATCTAGACCTAAGGTTAATGCAGACATTCGTGCAATCCATCACGAGGCAGCAGCAGTAATCTAGCAATTAAGATATGAAGGAATTGATTATTGAAATGTTACTGCGATGCACATGCTGTGTACAATAAGCAACGCAAATTCAGGCAAGATCCCTAGCAAGTAAAGTTGATGAACCGAAAATGAAAATGAAAACTAGATTGTGAATAAAGTAAATAAAGGATGGTGGAAAAAATACCTTTGGGGCTTTTGTTATACCTAAATGAGTATCTGTGTGTCTTTGGTTAAGAGGGTGTCACACAGAAATGGCTGCAAGCGTCAGCAGACTCACTAAATTTAGAGAAAAGGTTTGGCTGTTTCCCTTTCAGTGATTAGACCAGGAAGAAAGTGTTGATTGTTTTCAAAGCACGTTATGTTCGACTCTCGCAGTCACAAGCCTGTGCTGTCTGTTGAAAACATACAGTATAACATCTCTGTTCCCTGTCACTTACATGACCGCTGTGTTGCCCTTATTGATTTTTTTTACATCAGATAACTCTTGGGATACATTTTTCCAAATGATTTCGTTCTCTAATAAACAGGTTGTTTTTCAAAAAGGCTCCATGGTGGTGCTCAGCATCGCCTCTCCTATGCAGCGACGATGCATGCGCTCCTAGAAACACGGTTGCTGTGGCAACCTGCTCCCTCACCATCTTGTGTTTTTACTGTCCAGTGCCCTATTCCACATTACTGTGTTTAGCTGAGCCTCATGAACATTCACTGTTCAAAACTGATCAGCAGCACATCTGCGGTCCAATTTAGCTTATATTTGACTTCACGCTTAATAAGGATTATTCACAACACTTGGTGTTACACGAGATATAAAACAGTTGTTTACTCAGTAGATACCTTTATCTAGAGGAATACAAATTGAATATATTTGAAAATATACATTCACATAAGTGCAGGGAGACCTGAGAAAGCACACATTTGAACCTTGGCCTTCAATATCACAACACATTTGCCATGAATCTTAATATCTACAAGGTCTGAGGATTAGGTCAACTTCAGTCTTTATTAAAAACAGCTCTGATAACTTTTAAAGCAGCTATTATAGAAGCTCATAAGGGAGTGTATGCTAAAAATAGACTTTTTAGATGCCCTGTTCATCCCACAGACTCTCTCTCTCTGTAACTGCCACAGAGAAATAACAACACATTACTCAACTCCAATGTGAAAATGTAGTTTCATGGATACAAATGCAAAACCTAAATGTTAACTGCATGCAGCCCCTTTGCAGCACTCCTCACTATGGTGTTCTTTACACTGCCGTCCTTCCCTGAAGAGTCTTCGTCTCATTCCCCATCCAGCAGGTTATTATAATCTGACTTAATTGAAAATAAAATGTTTTCTCCCAGACGTCAGAATCGTATGTGATCCAGGCTGACGGTTTGATCGCTGCAACGTTTAACAGAAAATGATTCATGGAAGCATCAAAACAGAACGTCATTAATGTCTAGCTGCAAGAATTGATCATACCAGTGCTCTCAGAACAGTGTTTGTTTTCATTTTTTACAAAAATATTAGCAGGTGAATGTGATTTCAAGAAAGCCATTCCATTGTCTTTCTTGCTACTTCCACCATTCCTGAAATTTACAAATACAGAGGTAACGGTTTGTTTTAAATCGAAGATATGAGCAGTTGTATTCAGCAACGATTCATTCTGATGTTGTAAAAATGAAAACTTGTTTTCCCCATTGCATCATGGAAAGATTCATTTCCCATGCAGACAAAAGCATTTGGCAGTTGTCATCAATGAGTTGTATGTATTTTTATTCCTCAATATAGCTTTGGAGAAGTACAAAAAGTACATTGTGTAGTAAAATTCACAGGCGTAAAACACCAGACAGGGTCAAATTGTATAGAGGGAGAGACCTTGAATCTGCCAGCAGGACGCCTGTTGCCTTGACCTCCCATTGTCAAGTTCTCAAGGAACAACAGCACACAACAGCTATATTTTTAGATTATCACACCTTCACTCATCTGAGGGCCAGTTCCTTCGCCAGAAGCCTTCATCCTCATCGTTGTGCAAAATGTGTTTCTTTTAGGCTCATGACGTGGTTCAGACGTCGGCTGCATTGTATTTTTTCCAACCAATTTCACTCAAAGGTATTTCTCTTTCTTGATCTTAGCCGTTTTTTTCCATGTCAAAAGCAGATTGCCACCATGTAGGTATTGATTATTCGATCAGGCCTGAGAAAGCGCTCAGTCGTGAAAAGACAAATTAGCTGCAAGCTGCTGACCAATTGCTACAAACCAATCGCATCATCGTGAGCGCCTGATTGTATCAATGCCGTGCTCTCCTCAACAGAGTCATCAAGGTTTATGAAGAGGCAAAAACCGTGGCGTTGTTTTCAATAAACACCGAGGCTCAGGGCTGTGGGACGCTTCCTGTGTGCCTACGCAAGGCCCAATTAGACCTCATGCATTTACAGATGGTCGAGATGAACACAAAGCCACACAGGTGCAGCAGGGCCAACATCATCTGCTGTAACTATGACAACACTAGATTGATTCAGGACGTGGGAATCAGGGTAGAATGGGACACATGTTTACCAGTAACAACTGGCACTTTAAAAGAAAGGGAAAATTACAGGTGCATGCCTCATATGTTCTCATACTTTTCTCATACACTTTCATCTGATGACAGTTTTATTTTCCAATTTCTCTGATATGGGGAAAAATAAACAGCCATAACCTGACCGTTCCTCCTACAGTCGCAACCTCTAATCTGCAATCTCTGCTCATGTTATAGCCTGTGGCATTATATCTCCTACAATTCAACAGAATGGCCTTATTCATCTATGCAGCTGCGCTCACTACGGCGCACCTTCTCGGGAACGCAATTGAAATTCTGAATAGGCCTAATTCTGCACATGCTGCATTACAAAATGGCTTGCATCCATTCTCTCCTCGTCGTAATGACAACACACGACTGCACCCAAAAACAATCCATAGATTAAGCTTTTTTTTTGTTGTTGTTTTTTTTTTTTGTGAAGATGTGAAACACACAGGTTTACATAAGGGAGCATGTTATTTCAATACAATTTATAAGGACTACCACAGCTTTATTCCACTGACATCGACTGTATCTTTCGCTGATATTATTTATTTACTTACGTTATTATGAATCTGTGCAGCCTCTGCACAATTCCTTATCCAATCTTTGTCGTCTCGTGATTTATTTCAGCATCCGTGCAGATTAGGTATCATATGCAATAATTACGCCGGCCATTTCAGTCCCTTCTACCTGTACAACCAATATATTATACACCTACCTTAATGTTTGGTCGGCTGCGGCGTATAAGGTCGATGTTTTCTCTCCACTCGTCCCTTCTCCCGATCGCTGCTTTTCCAACCTCGCTATCTGTCTCTCTCCTTTTCTCTTCTCTAAATTGATTCGCTTGTTTCCACGGCTGTGAGCTGGCTCTTGTTCTTGCAGGCTATTCCGCAGCGCCAACGCAACGCGGGGGGCTACGGTGGTGGCCGGTTAAAGATGAACACAATCCAGACACACACGAGGGGGGGGAAAAAACAAACAACCAGAGATAAGGTTAAGGATCGTTGGAGAAAACGATGTCGGTATTATCACATTTAGGGAACGAGGTCTGGGGCGAGTGCATCCATGCGCCTTATCATCCTTGGAGAGGAACGCAGGCAGCAAACGCGACGGCGCCCGGTGGGCAGAGCATTTTGCGTCCAGCATAAGCGGCTCTTTACGCACATTCCGTACGTTTCCGTCTGAATCCCACTAAGGTAGCATTAGAGGAATAGATGGACCAAACGATGTATGGACGTAGATGATTTAAACGTTTAAACTCTACATTTAGCGCTGAATGTTGCATTTCATTCTGGTCTGTTTCAGTCTGTAAGGATTTATTTCAGATCTCTGGTGCGATATGAGCTCTATGCATGTAATGAATATAGTCACATATTCATTAATATGACTCAGCAGCACTGATTGGGTGAATTGAGTCACTGTGTTTCTTCTTCTACTTTGAAATGTCGTGCATATTTGTCCCTTTTCAGGGTTTAGTCATGTAACAAACACCTGTTCACTGTTGAACCAACAGGCCAAAACATCTGCAGTAACACTGTGTAGTCTGACAAATGTCCATATTCCTAATGAATGTGCAGTGCTAGCACATGCACTTTAGCAGCTGCCAGCTAAGATTCAATCTAATGAGGTGTTTTCTGCAATCTTTGCATATGAGTGTGTATTTATTTTTTTCCCTAAAGCAGTTCTCAGTGGTGGATTTAAAGCGACATATAAGGAAGCCACCACCACCTTTTCATTGCTGTCAGTATCCAGACATTGAGAGCAAACACTCCCTGTGAGATTTTCACAAACCTTTAGATATGTGATACGTTGTTTTCCAGAGTTTCACTGCTATTAGTGGGCTGCTGCATGTTTTAATAAGTGAATTTCAAAGAATGCCAGCACGTTATTAGCCAACAAAGAAAGCTTTAGTCAGTCGTCCTCTCTAAGTGGCCTCCCCATATTCATCTTTGTCATGTGCACGTCCACATGTGGCAAGTGCTTTAGCTCCTATATCATCATTTGCCCTTCACAAGCATTCACTTCAGCCCAGAATGTGCGCGGAAGAAGAGAAGCATCCCTTGTATCCCTTGTAGCCTTGTATCTGCGACCAAAGACTTTGTAGGTATAAATAAATCCAAGTACATCTTTGCTCTGTCTCAGCTCACACTAAAGGTCAAAGGACAGAGAAGGCCAGTTATGCTTCAGAAAGACCCCGAAGATATATACTCTCTCTCTCTCTCCCTCACCCTCACCCTCGTTCCTCCCCTCCCTCTCTGTGAATGCCGTAGTGAGCATTGTTCACGACCACTAGCTTTTGCTGAAAGCTGCACAGCAATGAGGTCTCTGTGCCTTTCGCCTCGCTCTTCCTCTCCCCTCCCCCTCCCTTGCCTCTCTCTCTCTCTCTCTCCCACCCATCTACCTCTCTCTCCTTCCCTCTCCTTCTCCCTCTATCTCGCTGCCTCTATTAAATTTCCAGTCACACAGTGGTGCAGAGGATATTCCTCCTTTCCCCTCTTTTTCCCTCTTCCCTCGTTCCCTTTCACTCATGCTGAAATCTTAGCCCACATCCAGTCTCTCGCCCGACCCTGGCTGCCTTTCAGTGCCACTCTCGGCGTCTCCTCTCTCTGTGCATCTTTTTGCCATCCAACCCCCGCGCCATTTAAAATGATTCCCCGCCGCCCATGACAAACCCACCCTGTGCCTCTGCTCTCCTTCCTCCCCCCTCTTCCTCTATGTCCTCACTGTGTCATTGTACATTGAATCTGATATTCCCCGTACGAATGTATGGTATGCTGGTGTGCGTGCGTGCGTGTGTGTGTGTGTGTGTGCTGGCACCCTTGAGCGTGTGTGTGTGTGTGTGTGAGAGAGCGTTGGAGTGGAGGGAGGTAGAGGGACATGCATTTGTGCACAGTAAATGAACAAACACTCATCACTGTATTGCTTGTGTCATCAGTACAGGAAGGCTCCTGAAGTAGAAATTCAGCGGAGAAAGCTAATCCCACTATCCAGAGGACGAGTGCGTGGCATTTCCAATACAACCCAAACCCCATAAACTCTTAATGCTGTGTTAGGAGCCACGGGGAGAGGAGGGGGAGGGCGATGAGGATTTGGCAGCAACATGCTAGTGCCAAGACATATGTGGCATGCTGATAGCGCCAGAGAGGTGCAGCTCACACTGTGAAGAAGCTTTAGAGGGGTGCTGATACACATCCATCACTTCCATCGTTTCGGGATACTAGCTGCAGGCCTCGCCACTCTTGGAAGTGGGTGGTTGAGTAATTGCACACAGTTCAAAGCAAAGATTAAAAATGTGGATAATTTCTGTAGCAGTAGCGCTGACGTTAGATTTGGATGAAGAGCATTAGTGATCTGTTTAATGGCCCCAAGCGTCCAGTTAGGGTATGTGAACAAAGTGATATTTTTGATGGTTATTTTTAGAAATGTTGAAACATTGTGCTCATTGCCATCTGTGCAGAAGAATAAGAGACATGCAAGGGAGAGTTTCGAGTTATTCATGGTGACATCCCTGTGTGTGTGTGTGTGTGTGCGCGCGCGTGTGTGTGTGTGCGTGCGTGCGTGTTAGAGAGACAGAGAGGGACAGAAAATAGAGAGAAAAATCCTAGTGTCACAGTATCTTAGCAACTGCCTCCATCTCCTTGGAGACAAGAGCTGACATCATTTCCTGTCTGAGAGAACTTACTTTTGGTTTGTACACAGTGTGTTTGTGCGTATGAGCGTGAGGGCATGTGTATGTGTGTGTGTGTGTGTGTGTGTGTGTTGTAATGGCAAAATATATTTTAACCATGTGCTTCTAATCAAATGTATGTTAAAGTGTATGCTAAGCAAAAACAGGAAAATGCAGAGGCAAGTAGAAAACACTGCCTGCCCTTCCTGTGAACTGTCGAAACCCAGAAACTACCTCGTTCCTGTTTTTCAACTTCTGTTTCTTAGAGGTTCAAGAAAACTAAGCTAAGCACAAAGGTCAGTTTTGGAGCGCCTACACAGGCCAGTTGAACCCAGTTCTGCTTACCATGCATACAGAACTTCATCTTGGGTGTTACTTTTTCTGTATGTGCATAAAATGACATGTCCAGCGATCACTGGCAGAAGCGTTTTCGCAGTACACTCAGATACGTGTCTGCTGAACTGCTCTCTTACTCGCAAGTAATAAAGATAAAAACTTTGATTCTCTCAAGATTCTGTTTATTGACATAGATTGAAAACTTTGACTCTTCTCCCGATTAATCATAGAAATCTTCCACAACAGTGTGTGTGTGTGTGTGTGTGTGTGTGTGTGTGTGTGTGTGTGTGTGTGTGTTGGCCTGTATCCATGCTCATATGCAGATGTGGGCCTGCAGTATGTGCACCGATGCAAACAGGAAGTATCCTTGTGTTTCAGTCGCGGTGCGTTCAAGAATGTCGCTCTGTTTGAAGTCAATAAAAAAAAACTCAAAAAGTCTGTAATTTTCTGCCATAAAAATTTTACTGACATGGATTTCTACTTGAAAAGACTTTTAAGTCTGTTTGTTATTGAATTGTCATTTTAGAAAATAGGATTTTAAATGGAGCTGTGAAATCATAAGACCTACACTAATAGAGTTTCTAAATGTTTTTTATTTCCTTAAAACAATTGGAAAGACATTTCTTATAGCTTAAAGTTCAGTCAATAAACATAGTCTGTACCATGTACCACAAAAACTTTTGCTGTAGACATAATGTCACTAATGTGGAGTATATGTTTTGTCCTTTCACAGCCAAGTCAGTAATGGAGTATCTACAGAGTCTGCTGTTCATGTCGGCCTAGCAAGCAAGCCTCAGTGTACTAATGCAGAGAAATTGTCATCTTCGACTGCCATCTTGTGAGCAGAGGAGTGAAGTGCAACCAGAAATCCATCCTCTCTCAACTGTTCCAAGTCACTCTTATTTCATGTTACAATGTTACACATTCTCAGCTTATACAAACATCAGATATTTTGTATCATAGTCTACGCATTTGGAATAGATAAGCACTAAAAGACTTTAATGTAATGTGACAAGCCTCGTTCTGTTGAGAGTTACCAGTTGCTGGCGAACACATATGAGAATTGATTTTGTCCAAAAAACTCTTGACAAGAATAAGCGTATTTACCAAAATGTTGAAGTATTTCTGAAAGAAATAAGGGACTTGTAGATGCCGACCGTCTCCAGAAAGATCATGACACATGGACGCATGTAAGGCTGAGTGTTGTTTGATCAACACCGGCCACATAGAATTGCCTCTAAAGCATTCACTGATATTGAAAAAGCTCTTCTTACATAGAAACAGATCTGTCCCCAAATGCATTTGAAGGTAATGATTTTGTTTTGCAGATGCATCGAGCAGGAACTACCAAAAACACAGGGAGATTAATGACGCTGTTAAAGTGTGTGGCCAATATTGTGTTTACCATGCTACAGAAACAGAAAATACTCTACAACCGAAAGAAAACTAAAAAAGCCTCATTATCAAAGACCAGCAACAAGAAAGAACGTCTCTACTGGGATTACAGCAGAGGATTCAAAGATAACTGACTGGTGACCCCTAACAGTCAGGTGCTTGATGTTACAGAAAGTGCATTCCAGTGAACACAGCATATGAAAGCCAAGAAGTGCACAAGGCATCATAATCTAATGTAAGGACAATTTTTTTCATATCATGATTGTAAGATGCAAAAGATGCGCGGAAAATAAAAAGGCCAACAAGAGTTCTGGCTTGCCAAAAATCTGGGTCAATAATACATAAAAGAATACAGAGCTTTAAACCTTGTAGGCCTGGATTACTATTCCAGTCGCGTATGAATCAACAAAGTCAGCAACACAAAGAGTCAGACCCATCATACGATAAACAAGATATCCCAGGGGAAGCAGTGTCCAACATTGTGCCAAGCTGATGCTTCAGCAGAATATGTACACGTCAGCAAAGCATTCTTATTCAAGCACGCAATTTCATCATTGAAGTACCCTCTATCAAATGGAGCAGAGGGAAAGTTGCAGCAAAAGATGTGGTGCAAGCCCAAAGGCAGGCCACCACGACACACATATTGCCCAGAAAATCCAGTGTTAAAGTGAGCTAAACCTGCAAAACTGCAGATGCATATAACGTTTTACAGTGACCAGCAGAATAAGAGTCAGATGACCGATAGGCTCGATGTACCTGCAGGAG